TTAGCTCAAATAATTTATTTCTCTCACCCCATATACTGACTTGATCGTCGGAGTGCTAACCCTTATTTTGCAGGTCTCAGGTCCATAGACACCGTTGACTCCTCAACCTATTGGGTTCGACCTTCGTCAGTATTATTTTAAGTTTTGATATACTATTATGGGACAAATTAATAAAAGAAAAATGTGTTTATTTTAAAAAAGAAAGAATCTTGTGAAAATAAAAGAAATTTTGTTTCATATTATCAGTTTCAAGTGCCGAAATGAAAAATAAAAAGACTGCATTCTTTTAGTCTAAGTGAATAACCAATTACTATTAGTATATAATAATAACAATAAGTCACTGTAAAATCTTTTTATGAGGGAAAAAAACATATTATAACATAACTTAACCACTATTTACAACTTGAAAATGATTCAAAAGTCTAGGCAAGATCTATATTCTATTAAATGTCTCTCTCTTGAAACCTTAGACTATGTCACGTAGAAATCCATGATGGCTACTTCCTTGCATGTAAATTCATTAACAAAAAATCAATCTTTAGAAAAATTGATAACGAATAACATATCACTATTGTTTTCTTGTATTTAGAGAGGATATGAAAGCATATGCACTTCTCTATCATGATAGGCTGTCAATGATTTTAGGATCGATCCTAAAAAATTTATTTATAAATCTTATCAAACATCATTTATGAATGTAGGAGTACAATGATATTTGTTGTTCTAAATACCAGTTGCAACGTACCTGAACTTCTAGCCGCCATTACAGCTTCGATTTTTTAGGTCGAATCAATCCTCTTCAACACCCCGGCAATAAATAATGAAGTTTTACAAATTCGATTATAAATATCAAAAATCTTTATCAAAATGCATTCCATGGCTTTCACAATTGAGAAAATGCTTATCGCTTGGACAAACTTAATCTGAATCAATATTTCAGGTAACCCTGTAATTTCTGCAAGAGCAAAATATCTTGCATCAAAGAACACCTCTGCAGTTCGGATGATTCAGAACATTTAGCCCCTTCTTTTCTTACATACTGACAAAAGGCAACATGAATTTGTGATCTAAATACGTGTAATAAGACAAGATGAAGGTATTTTTTGCCCAAATCTCATAGAGTTTTGCCATACCCGTCGGAGAAATTAGATTAATCGAAGCGTACTTACATGATTTGTGGGAATAAAATTTGGAAAATGGCCGAATAAGATTATTGTTATATGGAGTGGTCCTTCAACATCACCAACTTCCTCTTGTGTTCAACTTCCTCTTGTGTTCAAATTGCGGTGAGCTCTTCGATCGCATCAAATTCTCGAGCAAGAAAATAAATCAATCGATGGCCTTTCAAAATTTTTAATAGATTGACTCAATAGAGTATGATTTAAAATTAAAAAAAAATTCAACAGAAGACTTGGATAAGATAAAATAAGATCGGGTAAGATTTGTTTCGGAGTATTTGAAAACAGAATCTCCTACCGGATGATTACTTAAGTAATATATCTTTTTTCTTAGAGTTTTTTAACTGAAAATAAAACTTTTTTCCCTTTTTAATAAATAAAAAAATAGAGAAAATTACTAGTCCTACGTGGCAAAAGGAAAACTATCACAGTTTTCTATTTTTGGATTTTCTTTTATTAAGTTACTAGTGATGTTTGGCCGCGCAATGCGCGACCCTGGCCCAATATATCTGTAGATCTTAGAAATATTTGTATCTAGAAAAAAAATATTTTGTATTTGGTCCGATATAATTTAGAAATTTTTGAAGAATTTAGAAATGTTTTATAAGTGTGATCACAGAAATGTTTGTATTTTGGCATAAAAAGAAATTGTATTTGGTCCGGTACATTTTAGAAATGTTTGAAGATTTTAGAAATGTTTTATAAGTGTTACTTCTTAAATATAAATAAACTTGATCAAATATATATCTTGAAGTAAATGCTAGACAAAATATGAAAGCATGCCAATAAGTTTAAATATTAGTAAGATAATTTATTGATGTTCTCCATTGGTTGTGCCAAATCAATACTTAGTTTTGGAGATTTATAATAGCTTTGTAGTAAGCTTCCTCCCAAGAGTATACGCTTAATTATTAGAACTATTTCTTCCAAAAGTTTATAGGTAGTAAAATATCAAAAATATGATTTTGAAACTGGTTAATTGTTGAAACTGGTTGATCACAAATATGAGAATGAAAATAACGTAAATTTGCATAGGTTTCAAGTTATAGCAAAAAAGAACTCACCTCACCATGACAAATAAAGAAAAAAAAAGAAATTAAAAGATAGCCCATTAAAAATTAAGAAATTTATTTGTATAAAAACACAAATAAACGTAGAAACATCATTCCTTCCCTCTCCGCCTTAAATTCATAAAAGACTTTCCCATAAATTAATTAGAAGAAGCGACTTGAACTATTTATATGATGAGGAACTAAAAAAAGTCCAAAAATCAAATCCAAAAAAGTATATTCTTGAAAGTCCGAACACAAAAAAAAAAAACGCGGTTCATTTGCAAATGAACTAATAATAATAATAATAATAATAATAATAATAATAATAATAATAATAATTGGTCAACTGGGAGTATGAAACAAAATCAAAAGCAATTAAACAAAGAAAAAGCACACTTCATAACTAACCATATACGAAAAAAAACCGAGACTCCATAATTAAAAAAAAAAAAAGCACTCTAATTGAATGAAATATAAAAAAGAAATTTAAAAAATCACATTTTGTAACAAAAACACAATTAATAAATTCAATCCAAACAGAACTAAAATCATACAAAAATTCTAGGCTAACTAATCATATAAGAAATCACATCTATTACCTGACAACGGTTACGGTAGCTATAACGGATGAACGCATAAAAATAATAGTAATAACACTATTCTTGAACGGGAAAAATAAAAAAATAATAAAAGCTAAACAAATAATTTATGGAAATAAAATCATTTAAATTTTAATATCTGTAATTGCACCACCACAACGGCCGAAGCAAGATTAATGAGAATTTTTTTTTTCCTTTGTGTTTATATAGAGAGGTAAAGAGAATATTTTTTGAAGTCGAAATTTTGTCCGATTAGGATGTAGTTGATCATCACAAATGAAAAAATTGAACATGCTAATTGGAATGGAGTATATTTCACCACATATTCTCAATTGATGATTGATGAGGAATTTGTTTTTGTTTTTTTTATTGTGGAGAAGGGAGTAATTAGGGAGTCCATTGTGATAGAGATGGAGATGAGGATTTGGGTTTTTTATGAACCTATAGTTTTTTTTTTTTTTTGCGAAAATAAGAAGTGGACGTGGATTTGGACTGCATTTACTTTTTAAGTCTAGGAGATGTGGAAATAAAAATTTATTTTAAAAATATGATGTGAAAATGCCACATGACAAATGACGGTGCTTTCTCTTAAGTGTGGGTTTTGTTTCTAATATAGTAAGATATAGATAAACAGACAAAAAAATGAGATGTTAGATAAAGAATTAATGGTAATTGGATAATTAATTTTTTAGAGGTTGATATTCACCTAAATGGCTAAATCTATAGAAACTTTGAACCATTTTTAATTTTTTTACATATCCATTCAATGTGCATGCATGTTAATTTGCTATGGCCTTTCAGCTAAATTGAACACGGCGGTCTTCTCGGTCAAGTGAAGATCAGTTTCGTTTTAGAATCCCTTTTACCCTATTAAAGCAGAAAACAGGATGCTTATATGGTAATTTCTTATTAAAAGGTTTTGGCTCCAAATGCACCATATTGCATAAACCATTCTGCCACGTGTCACCTCCTTCTAAAAATAAAAAATATATTTACAATATTAACGAAGAGATTAGATGGCCATGTTCATTCAAATTTTGAATTTGACAGTGAATGGAACTTTCCTTCTCCACTTATTTAGGACTTTCTAAAAAATTAATTTTTGATAAATTAATTATCTTCATAAAAAACTAAATTCATTCCTAATCAGTTTTGATTATTTACATATTAATTTATTAGGTGGGAGGACGCCCCGGGCATTTGTCCGGGACAAGCATCTAGTTATCTTATTATTGCAAAAAAAAATAAAAAATAGTGGTAATAGTAATAATTTGATGATTCTAGAATCTTGAACAACACTTGGAATTTAATTAGGACAATAATCCTTCAAGAAAGATGAAGGGGTACGTACAACAGTACTAGTACGATTCTTAAATTACAAAAACTTGTCATTTCAAACAAAAAGTTTGTGTGCCAGCCTAAACAGGCAGCAACAAATTTCATGAAACTCTAATTCTTAAAAAAAAAAAAATAGTTTGTCGTGAGTTTTTAAATTTATACGATTTTTGGTATGAATTTCAAAATTTAATATAAACTATTTTTTCTTAAAACAAAGAGAGTACATAGTAATATTATAGTGTTTCATACTATAACAAGATTAGATTTTCCTTCTCTATTATTCATTTTTTGTAGTTAAAACAATAATCTATATAAAGGGTTGATTCAGACGAGGAATTTGATACACCAACTCGATAGTTTAATATCATACAAAACTGCAAAATTCTAAGGTAAACTAATTGATCTTTACATCTTAATCAGACTCTGTTGGAGATTTTGGGATCGAATCTCATAATTTGAACCAGTAATTCTTATATGTGTTGGCTTAAGTTTATAGGCGATTTAAGTAGAGTGTGGATATTTTCTAAGTAAAATAATAATAACAATAAATATCATTAAAAAAATCTCAAACTCTAAAATGGAAAAAATTAAAAATTAAAAAAAAAAAAATTCTCCAGAGAGGTGGGAGGTGGGTCCCCACCTCATTCCTTTGATTCGATCTTCATCTCCTTCCTGCTTTTCAGCTACTAAAGTATATATAAACACCTCCTCTCTCCTCTGCCCTCGCCATCATCAACGTTCTTCACCGGAAACCCGTACACCCGAATGTTTCGCCGTTTTCACATGAATCTTCTAATCCAACAACCATCCATCAACATTCCTATTCCGTACAAATGTATTCGTCCTCTTTGTCATCTCGTCGGACGATCAATCACGCCGTGAAGGACGTCCCGTCTGTATCTCGCCGGAAAAGGGTGGCGGTGCCGCCCAAACTCAAGTTCCTAGTCAGCTACAATGGCACATTCTGCCGCCGGCCGCCGTCCCATAAGTTACGGTACACCGGAGGGGAGACCCGGATTATATCCGTGGACCGTGGTATCAGCTTCGCGAAACTCAAGTCTAAGATAGCTACTGAATTGGTTCGTCCGAACGCTGTCGTTTCGGGTTTCCGGTTTTCTCTGAAGTATCTTATCTCTGAGTCTTTTTGTGGGGGTGATGAGCCGGTGCTTATTTCGTTAGAAGCAGACGACGACGTTCGGACCATGGTGGAGGAGTATGATCAGGCGATGAAATTCAGCAGTCTGAAGAGACTCTGGGTTTTTGTTTGTGATGGTAAAAACGCTGTTGATGATTGTGGGTTTATGGGTACGAAGCTTGGGAATTTGAAAATTGGGAGCCAAGGGTTTTACGAGGGTAAGAAAGGGTTTGCGGGAATTCAGGGGAATCAGAGATTGCGTTCTGTTCAAGGGTTTCCGAGTGAAGATCCATCGGCCCTTATCGGAAAAGATGATGATGATAAATCGAATTCCCACCGGAGTAAGAAATGTTGTGACCATTCTTTGAGGAAGGCGGTGTTGAAGCAGCAATTGCTGGCCAATAAATTCGCCGATATTCGGATTTTCCATGGGCTTGATGAACAGAGCGAGATCGAATTGACTGGTGAGAACGGTGATTGTGAAGCTCCACTTATCGATCTTTGCTCGGAGCCTGAAGGCCCCTCGAGTTTCGACTCCAAATTTCTGAATACCGGGCAGGACTTGGGTATGAAAGTGACAGAGTACAGATATAAGAATTCCCTTGGTTCTGAGAAAGTTTCCTCTGTCAAGCATTCTGATACACTGCCATTGAATCCGAAAGATGGGTATCTTAAGACGGGATTTTCATTAGTTCAAGGTGGTTTCCGCAAGGACCAAAGCCATAAATCAATTTCAAGGGAAGCAAGAAGCCAGAGAACCTGTCCTTATGACATTAAGGTAGGTAAACTGTATCCCCGGAATACAACTATGGCGAAGCCAGGCCCTGTCTTGAGGCCTTTGAAAAGGGCAGATATCGGCAAAGGTTACAGAGCTGATGCTTGTGTAAATACCAGTTCAAAGTCAGTGGGAATTCAGACAGAACCCTTAACTGGTGATCCAGGTCTTGATGAGCTTCCCAGTGTTAATACTCTTGGCGATGATCAGCCTGCTTCTCAGTATAATCTTTCCACGGAAATGACTGGCAAGTTGCAAATTCTAGATCTTCCTTGTCCCATAATCGACGAAACCGGAATGCCCCCAATGCCGCAGTCAAATGCATTGGATTTGATGGAAGAAGAACATTTGGTTGAAAAATCGAATGATGTCTCTTCTCCAGGTTCGAAGAATGCTGCAAAATTGGAAAAAGATGATGAAGAAAAACACAAAATACAGCTTGATTCTGCTATCAATTTGAGCATTCAAGATAAGGTATCAATTTTTAGATGGATTATTTATACTAGTCAAAGTTAGATATATAAGCTGTCTTTAAGTATACCTGAATGCAGGGTAACAAAACGAATGAGTGCTTAAAGGCTAATGGTGCATTGCCCGCTTTTGTATACTCTGAATTAGCTACTAGTGAGCTTCAAGTAAGTCTGAAAACTATCTGTTGACTTACATTTCTAATAAAATGCTATATCTTCATGAATGATTGCTGTCTAATACGCTGCTCACTGAAACATAACTCCAAATTGGATGCAGAATATCAGAAGTTCTGACCTTGAATTCATCAAGAAACTGGGATCAGGAACATATGGAACTGTGTATCATGGGAAATGGAAGGGCTCTGATGTTGCAATCAAACGAATCAAACCCAGCGGCTTTGCTGATGGTACAAAAGAGGAGGACCGACTGGTAGGTATTTCGATAACTTTCCTATTTTGCTGTTCAATGTGGACACCTGAATTTGGCATTTTTATGAATGTGTGGTAACACAGAATAGCAGTGCTTGGTGTTGTAGTTTTTGCTCGCCTACACGGCTACACGAACAATATGTGAATTTCTATTAAATTTGAAAACTCCATTTTAATTAAGGGTTTTTTTGTTATGTTTATGTCCTTGTTATTGCCAGGTAGCAGCCTTCTGGAAGGAAGCTCGCATTTTAGGCCAGCTTCGGCATCCAAATATTGTGGCGATCTATGGTGTAGCTTCTGATGGTCCCCTTAACTGTTTGGCAGCTGTGACAGAGTACATGGTTAATGGCTCACTCAAGCAAGTTCTCCATAGAAAAGATAGGTAAAGTTCATGGTTTACAATAGATGATACGTTTTAAGGCCATTATTTTATTTTCTGTTACCATCAATACTAGTTTGAACTTTGTGTCATAACCAATGATCCTCCTCCCCTGAATTGGACACTGCAGGACAATAGATCGTAGGAAAAGACTGATTATAGCAATGGATGCCACTTGTGGCATGGAATATTTGCACGAAAAGAAGATAGTGCATTTTGATTTAAAGTCTCACAACTTTCTCATGAACATGAGGGATCCTCATCGACCAGTTTGCAAGGTAAACTAGAGTTGGAAAAGGTGTCTCTTTAGCTTCCTTTCATATACATAATGGGTTTGGTACTGATGGTTTCTGATTTCTAGCTCATGGTTGTCTATTTGTTCCCTTGCAGATTGGTGATCTTGGCTTGTCAAAAGTCAAGCAGAGGACGCTTGTAACTGGTGGCATACGAGGAACTCTTCCATGGATGGCTCCAGAACTACTTAATGGAAACAATAGAGTGTCAGAAAAGGTTTAGAATTGTCATTCGACATCAATTACTAGTAAAGAACCTGGTTATTACTAACATAGTAACATGGCCATTCACTGCCTGGCTAATGTGTTATTACTGTCATCTCCAGGTTGATGTATACTCATTTGGGATTGTCATGTGGGAACTCTTGACTGGGGAAGAGCCTTACCAAAACATGCGATCTGAGGAGATAATTGGTACGTATTGCACGAAGCTACTAGCAACAGGCATGAGTGTGATAAATTTTAACAAATGCATCCCATTTGAGTAGTTGCGCACTTGCCCCTTTCAGTTGAACGTTGAGGCCTTAAGCTTTTGTTTCGTTGCTGTTTTTGTTAAATGGTTTTAATGTTGTCTTTCGGTGCTGCATCTCAGCTGGCATTATCAGAGGAGACTTGCGACCTGAGATTCCAAGTTGGTGTGATCCGGCATGGAGGTCACTGATGGAGAGGTGCTGGTCGACTGATCCGAAATCAAGGCCACCTTTCTCAGAGATAGCAAAGGAGCTGCGGAAAATGGCTGCTTCCATGAAACATCAAGTAACAGAAACAGTCGTATAGATCAGAGCTATGAACATTTTTGTGTACATAATGGCAAGCCATAGGGCACCAGGAGACGTATATTAAGGTGCTCCTCCAGCCTTAGGACTTAGACACTAGGATCCTGGCTTTTTGCAAGTCAGTGATCTGTGCCTTCTCCTAGTAATAGTATATACAGTGTAGGAGTTTGTAAAAAGTACTAATAAATCAAGAGACTGGTGAAACCTCGCATATGAATTTTGGTGTCTAAGTTTGAAACCTCTCATTACTGTCTCTTTTAACGCTTAATTAATCGTAGGCATCCGTATAGTTAAACGTGAATTTGATTACAAATAAACCCTCAAGAACTTGGTGAATGCATCACCAATAACATGAATTTGCTGCAGTAATTAGATTTTAAGCTGGACTGTAAATGCATCCCTTCCTTGTTCTCCAACTGCTAAAAGCAAAACGTGAAAAAGCTCACCTTCCATCAACTTCACATCAATAACGTGACAGTAAAAACTGGAAATAGAATTTCTGAATTGTGAGGATCCATCGCCCAATACGGATGGGTTTTAGACTTTTTTGGTCTTTGCTTTTGTTTGAGCTAAATAACTTTCTAACCGGAATTTCGGAAACAAGAAGGAACCTTGATCATATATGGGTTATTGGATAACCAGTTGTCCCATTTGGCAACTTGAGCCTTCATACGATGAGTATAATTTGGTTCGGATTACGAAGAGGTACACGCGCTCAAGGCCGTGTCGCCGTGCACAAATAAAACTCTTTTTTTTTTCTTTCCTTTTCTTTTTATGCACATGATATTGGGGAATCGAATGTTGCTCCAGCGGTTGTGGTGGATTAAGGCCTCGGATGACCCAGGATCGAATCCCATGGGGTGGGAAATTGGTAGGGAGTTTGGGGGGTTGAGGGGGGTAGTTACTAGGGGGTAGATTAGGTAGTTAAAAAAAACACATGATATTGTGTAATTTATTGTGTAGTTAATCTTTCCGCATTTTATTTATGAATATTTATTTACAATATTTTTCTTTTATTGGATATATAAATTTTTTTTACCGTGATTGCATTATCTCTATCACCAACCCCTCCTTAAATAAAATATTAAAGGTCAAACCACATTTAAAATCATCCCTTTTTTTTTTGGTAAAGTGAGAATTACAGTAAAAAAACCACTGAGTAAAACCACGCGCCAAGGAACGTGACTACTCATCAAATTCCTGGTGACAAGCCTACAAACAGCATGAAACGGCGCCGGCTCAACCACCAAATAACGCACTCCAATAATTCAAAAATTTCAAATCATTTCTCCAAATTCGAAATAACTCTAGAAAATCCACTTTCCAAACAAAGACAACGACAGCTATTTACTGGCCTAGCACCCTCAACAATTAATTTGTTTTTTTCTTTTTTGAAAATTGAAAAAGAAAAAAAAAAAAAAACTCTAGTGAACCGTCATAAGACACGTCAGCATTCAAGGACTATAAATAACCTTCGACCTCGGGAGAAAACAAAACTACATTTGACGACTCAGCCTAAACTTTAGAGCACACAACAGCTGCGTTTTGCAGCTGCCAACGAAAAGAAGCAGCAGCCCTTCATCTCCAACGGGGCTAGGGTTCGTCGATTTCCAGTCAACAAACTATTGGACTCCCCGAAAACCCAAACCAAAAATCGACGATTTTATTATGTTTGAACTGGATTTATTGACATAACCCTAAAGCTTAAAGATTGAAGCAAGCCGTTTCTTCGTGGTAATTATTTTTAATTTTTTACCCTTTTCTTCAGCTTCATTCTTGATTGATTGGTAGGGATCTGGTGGTTTCACTGGTTATGACTCATTCTTGGGTGTCTGATTGTTAAATTCTTGTTTCAAACGAATTGTCGGCTGACTTTTCTCCATGTCTGTGGTTTTGTACGATTTGGGCGAAATGAAATTTAAGAAAACTGGATTCTTTGTTGATTTTGTTTATAAATGACTTAAGGGAAGGTACCAACTGCCCTAATCGTAGTAAATTTGCCCTGTTTGGCTTCTCTGTTTTGTGTTTTTATATGATGGGGTTATTAGGGGTTGATGATTGTATTCATAGTCACCTGGTTTCAGTCTTAGGTTATTTATTTTGGAGGGGAAATGGGTTTTTCTTTTGATTTTTTTCTCATTGAATTTCGTTATGTTGAAAAAGTTGAAGGGTTTGGGTAATTTGCAGAGTTGTGTCAATCAGTGGTTTAATTTGAATTATTGAATATAGGGTAAAGAGATGCAGCTTCTAGGGTTTGTGGCTTGCAACTTTATCTTTAGTATGATTTTGCGGCCCCCGGGGGGGGTGGGGTTGGATGTTTGACAAGGTTTCTTGACCTTACTGGTACAATCTGTGTGTTAACAATGGTTTACTTAATTTATTTATTTAGTGGTTTAGTGGTGAACTCATACAAACCCAAACCCTTGTACATGACAATCTACTGGAGTTTGTTGTTTGAACGATTCTGCGCCTTTCCGTTATAATCTGGTGGTATAGATCGTTCTGTTATTGTTTTGTTGGTTACAAGACTCGTGCAGAGCTAGCCCTGGACGTGACACAGTATGCTGGAGTTCGGTGGTTGAAAGGTTCTGCTCCTCTCTGTTAAATCCCAAGTGCTATTGATGGTATATGTCATTATCTTGACACAATATGCCGGAGTTTGGTGGGAAGGCTCTGAGCCTACTATTAAAACCCAAGTTCCATTAGTGTTTTATGATTATTTTCGCGGGTGCTCGGTATACTTTCCAACATTGTTTCTTTGGAGATTTGTTCCGTATTTTCCATGAAGATGTGTAGAAACACACCATGCTTTTGCTGGGTTACACATAGTAGTTGATGGAGGAGGAGGTATATCATTGTATGCCACAGAGAATAGGAACTCAATACCCTAGAATAACAAAACCAAGGAGATATACCTTTGTTGTTCTACATGGGGATTATGTTATGTATAACAACTTACAGTAAACCTTTATATCCCTAGCAGAGGTTGAATAATTGAGTTGAAATGCTTTGATGAACTTTGCATACTTTTCTTCTGAAAAGGACGTTGCAAGCTTCACAGGGGATAGTGGATTTCAGATACTTGGTTATGCTTCTGCATCAACGTGATGCTTTGCTATTGGAAAAAAATTTATGGCATTTGGTCAGAGTTTTGATTGCAGGGGAGTGTTATCCGATGGTTTTTCTGGACTCTGAACAAGCCTGTTTCCATCATGAAGGATTATTTGATTGCAGAGTAGTAGATGTTTGCTGATGGGAATCATCAGTTTCACGCTACAAGTTTGAGTCTTTGAGATAGATGAAATGGGTGATAACTTTATCCTATGGTTTAGGTCCTGTAGGAGTGTGTTTTAGTAGCTTGAATCAGTTTGCAGTTAGGATTTATACTCTTTAAAGTACAGTGGTGGAAGTTATTTTATGTTCATGATATTTGAATCTCTTGTTGAGAACACTTGTTGATTGACAAATTTTTTGCTTGTTTTGTCTCAAAACGCTGATTAAATTGTCACTTATTTTTCTCATTGGAAACCGATTAGCACAGTTGTTTTGTACTTGTACTATATTGTCACTATCTTTCACATTGAGAACTGATTAGCACACTTGTTGTGTACCTGTACTAGTTACTGGATGTTGATATATGCTTGCCCTTCTGAAGAAAGATTCTTGAATAATATTACTACTATATATTTTACCGTGCTTTTAACTGTTACGTAGTTCTTACTATGTTCCTTTGGTTGCTCTATTTTTTCCCGTAGATTTTAGTTATTGCAACACCGATACTGAAGACATTCTCAACAAAGAAGATTTATCTAGCTATTTAACTTAGAAATGCCTAAGGAAAGAAGGGATCGTTCCGTGTCTTTTGATAGGTCCAGGGCATCTCCTTTCCCAAGCAGCTCTAGTCGGTCAAGGAGTGCATTGCCAAAAAATCCTCTAGAAAGTGACGAGAATGCGAGAGAGTGGGAAGATGCTCGCTGCCCAGTTTGTATGGAACATCCACATAATGCAATATTGCTTCTATGTGCATCTCACGAGAAAGGATGCCGCCCCTTCATGTGCGACACTAGTTACCGCCATTCTAATTGTTTTGACCAGTTTAGAAAGTCCTTTGGGGAAGCTTCAACCACCCAGGTGGGGGAAGAAGAACCAGTGTTGGCTGCTCATTCGATAATGTCAGTATCCCCATTGCCTGTTGGAAGATCAGTTGGCAATCCTACACCAGTGCAGGCTGAGTCTTGTGAGGATACAGAGAAGCCAAAGTTGGTTTGCCCCTTGTGCCGACAGCAGATCAATGGGTGGGTTGTTGTTGAGTCTGCTCGGCGTTTTATGAATTCCAAATTACGGAGCTGTGCCTGTGAAACATGTGATTTTAGTGGGACATACAGAGATCTGAGGAAGCATGCAAGAGAGCAACACCCTCTTGTGCGTCCAACTGAGGCTGATCCTGAAAGGGAGCGCAGCTGGAGAAGGTTAGAGCAGCAGAGAGACTTTGGAGACCTTCTCAGCACACTACAATCCTCTTTTGGAGATGACACCAGTGATGAAAGTGCTTTAACCCTTGACGATGGGCGTTTCCTTACTGTTGTTTTCCTTGTCCGCATACTGCGATCTGGTAACTCTTCAAGGAGCAGTAGCTGGTCTGGTGGTCCAAGTACCCAAGCCCGTTTTACATTCAGAAGACGCCCATCAAGAAGGCTTTGGGGGGAGTCTCTTGATTTGGAGTCAGGCTCCAGGGAGGATACTAATGAAAGTCCAGATAATGATTCCTGGGGACAACGTGATAGAGTACATCGACGACCATCGCCTGATAATTAGGCTCCAGGTGAAGCCGCCGCAATGGGGTCATGCCTGCAATGGCAGTTGAACGGTAGGTACAGCAATGTGCATGGAAAGGTGTAATGGCTGGGAATATTTTAGTGTTTACTTCTCCTTCTTAATTTCCTTGCATTCAGGATGTCTGAATGATTGTTTATTTTTCTCTAGTTCGGCTCGAGGAAGCAAGCAAAAGAGCTGCTGGAGCTGGCAGCGTTAGAGAAATAATAGCCGGTTGCCAATTAGCTCCGGGTTGGCATCACTTGTTTGTGAGAGATAAAGAGAGATAGGGAGAGAGGAAACTATGTAATTCTGACTCAAAGAGTGATGATTAGTCTCATCATCCTCTTCGCTTTGCTATTCCTTTGTGGCTTTCTTATTATGCTTTCAAAGATGTCTTTATTCAATTTGTGTAATTGGGAAGAGATCTCTATGATCATGATACTTATCGCCATTTCTTGCCATCTGCGCGGTTACAGGCAGTAGGGTGATTCTGTACATTTTCCTTGATCGAATGTCTTCTTTTCTGTTAGTGAGTGAGTAAATATTATTGGATTCAAGCTTAACTTGAAGTGTCTGTCTGATTTGTGGTTTGGGTTTTTCTTCTGAATTTGTATTTGATTATTATTATATTACATTGATAATGTTAAGAAGATGCACGCCCAAGTGTCTATATCCCTCATAATGTTTTCTGTTTCTTTTCTTTCTTTTGAATAATCATACACTGAGAAATGAATATTTCTATTATTTTAGAGGGAATATACATAATTTGAGAAAAACTCAAATTTGTTAGCTATTTAGAGTTTGCACCGTACATCTCTAGTCATTTTGGGTTTGGTTAAATAACTTATGCACACTTTCACGCACGATTTTTGCATTCTAAAAATTCACAACTTTTGTAACAATTTATAAAACACGATTTCCTGTTGCACTATTTTTGAAGCCACACATCTTAAGCTCATAACCAGCTTATATGCAACACCTTTTGAGGAATTAGTTATGCCAAACCAAAGAGCTGATTGCAATATGGGCACAACATACTGTATTTGCACCTAACTTATACCATTCCAAAAGGATGTCATAAGAGTCAAAAACAAATCGATATTTTTAGTGATAAAATGACCATAACATTTTCCTTCTCAAAAAAAAAAAAAAAAAAAGAGACCATAACATTTTGTCATTTTGAATTAAAAATCACAAGTTTTAAGTTCCTCAGCTGAAAAATGTAATACCAGACACAATCAGAGATTCAAATGTCACCAACTGTAAAATAATGTAACACATCATAATAATTCAAAATTTCAAATATCGCCCGCTGTAAAATGTAGCAATCAATTCCTTCTTTATTTTTTGTTGGAACAGAAAATTCAATCAAAAAATAATTGTAGATGTTGTAAGTTTGAATTCCGAAATTGCCCCTCCCTTAAGTTCACCTTTCATCTTTAGATTTTCTTTTTCTCAATAATTTGCACAGTAACGCCCACAGCGGGATCGAGCCAAAAGGAGAAGGAAAGAAAAGCCACAGAAAAAGGGGGAGAGAGAGAGAGAAATAACAGAGAGAGAGAGAGAGAGAAGAGGAAGAAGAGTCAAAGGAGAGTCGCATTCTCGCACCCAGAAATATTTCAAATCTACCCGGGCTACAATTTCTTGATGTGTTTTTGAAAGGGAGAAAAAAAAAAAAAGGTTACCCGATAGGAAAAGGAAGGGGCTTTTCCCTTGAAAAGTTTTGGGAAAAAAAGAGCAGGGGGAAGGTTCAATTGCTACGATGGGGGAAGGTAACATCGCAGACTCCACGGCGGAGCGTGGCGGTGGCGGTGACGCGGATAGAAACTCCGACACCCCTGTTATACTTAATGTGTATGACCTTACCCCTCTCAATAATTACAGCATTTGGTTTGGTTTTGGCATCTTCCATTCTGGCATTGAAGGTGAGATAACCCACCCCCAGCTTAGAATATATATTAAAAAATTAGAAAAATTAAGTGATAATGAAATTTGTCCTGTAAAGAGCTTCATATTTGAGAAGCTTTTTATTTTGTTGTTGTTGTATTTGATTCTAATTTTGTTAGAATTAGCTTCTTTGTTTCGTGTTTCTTATCTGATTTTGAATTGGCTACCTGCTTTGAGTTTTGCAACCTGTACTTTTTCATGTTGAGTTTAATGGGATTGGAGATGGGGGATTTCTGTTGATTCGATCTACTCATTGATAGACTACCATTAGGGAGTTCCATCTAAGAATCTCCGCTTGCACTTGTCTTGAAGGCATTGTTGAAGGGTTTGATTGCCTTTACATTATTGGTTCCTAAGTTGTGAATTTTTCCCCTGCCAAGTGTCAGCTGTTTCAACTCTCATATCCTGGGAGATGGAATCAAATCTTCTGTGTTTGAAAGTAAACAAGGGTTTATTTCATGTATCCTACATTTATGTCTTGTTCAAGTAAAATGAAACTGATAGTGTGTGTCAGATATTTTCTGCCTGGAGAAAGTAGAATGAATGTTTCCGTTTCTTGTATTTCTTACGGTATATGACAACTTGTGTAAACTGTTGCAGTTCACGGAATGGAATATGGGTTTGGAGCTCATGATTACCCTATCAGTGGAGTGTTTGAAGTGGAGCCGAAGAGCTGCCCAGGTTTTGTATATAGAACTTCTGTTTCACTGGGTAAAATAGACATGCCTCCTTCGGAGTTCCGGACTTTTATCGAGAGCGTGGCTTCTGAGTATCACGGGGACACCTACAATCTAATCTCTAAGAATTGTAATCACTTCACTGATGATATGGCCCGACGGCTCCTAGGAAAAGGAATACCTGGCTGGGTGAATAGGCTGGCCCATGCTGGTATGTTTGGCTGAATTCGTTTATTTCCTCTGAAATTTCATTGAGTGATTTATGATAGAAGAACTTTATATGTTAATTTCAATGGTACCCAGGCTTACCAATTTGAGGGTTCGCTAATTCCTGAGGAACTTCAAAGCTTCATCTAGTAAAGAATAGGTTTAAAATCAGGATAAGATAAGAGCAGAGAAGGGATGTTTAGAACCCTATTCTGACCCAAAACCTTGTCCTTTCCATGGAGCTTTGTTGTGCTACTCATTATGAGCCTTTTCGTTCTATGATTACCTTCCTGTATCTTAAAGAAAACATAATTACCATCCTAGAAATAAGGCCGCAGTATCTAAATATAATTATTATCCTGGAGATAAGGATGGAGCATAGGATCCTCTTCATTGTTTAACAAACATACACATAATACGGATTCGTATGATCTGTTGGTTGCATAGAGTTGTTTGTGAGGATGACAGATCAGTTTTTTCTTTTCACTCTGGAACTGCTGCTTGTTTTGGAAATGATAAATTTTCGTAGATCACTAATCGTTAACAGCGTATTGAACTGTATCTTTATATCCTATGCTCCTTTAACTGCCCGTGGAGAAGACCTTTGCTTTTTATTATGATTTTTAACTGCCCATGGAGAAGACCTTTGCTTTTTATTATGATGATATCTTTTTTAAATCTATGTACCTGTGAACAGTCTTAAGGAGTAGTTGTATCCTTTCAAAATTTCAGGTGCTTTCTGCAGTTGTCTTCTTCCTGAAAGTCTGCAAGCAACCACTGTTAAACAGCTACCTGAGTACCATAATTGTACTGGTAAGCAGTTTTCTATTTCATCTTTTCGTTCTTGTTCGGCACAGTGAAATTTGCATGCCTTTCTTGTCTGTGGGTTTATCTTTTGTTTCCTTTTGAATGAATCTGATTTGAATTCCTGAAGATTGGTTGTGTACCAGTTTCTAAAATATTCATTTCGTTTTGCTTGACTTATTTGCACAATGTTTAGAAGAAGATGGCAGCGTCTCTGTCGCCAGTACTTCACCCCTTGACCCAACAGAGAGTGAAGATGGGGATCAGGATAAGCTTTTGATGTCACCACCACCTGGATATGGTGAAGTAGCTTTTGTAAAGGAGATGTCAAGGTGATATGATGTGTTGTGTGATGAAAATTACTGTTGCTCCTCTCAAATTTCAAGAGCTGGACCAATATTTGAATCTGATGCTTGAGGAAATTGTATTGGAGTTGCTATGGGTCACATCTTTACTTCTCGGGCGAAGAAATGTTGTTAGATTCAGTGTATTTTTTCTCAACCTATTTTTTGGTCGTTATTCTTATTTTCTCATGGTCGAAGAATTTGGGATTCAAAAGATGCATGCTCGTCGTCGGCAATAGTTGCAACCCCGTTTAGATGTCTTGGGATTTTGTAGCGGGGACCTTGTTTTGGAAAATTGTATATCAGATTTGTATATGAAGATTGCAGAGCAAGCAGAAGGCCTTGGAAGAAGAAAAAGTGCTGGCCACTGCAAAGATGCACAGTTCCAAGTTCCGTTTTAAGTTGTCACAAATTCGTTAGTGAAGTTCCGATTTTAAGTTGTGTAAATTTGTGTTTGGGTAAAGGGGTTGAAGCAACTATTCTTTTTGTCACTTCCTATTCTTCCGATGGATCGGAGTAATTGTTTTGTTAAAACTTCTAAGTTTCTTTAACTTGGTAATGTGTAAGAAATGTACTCGTATTACACAACATTGCTGCAGTATGAAAAAGTAGCAGGTATCCATGGGTATAAGCATTCACAGTTTTGAAGGATTTGACGTTCGAAAAGTCCAGCTATGAATTGTGAGCTTAAGAGAATGGTCGCAAGATAAGAGCTAAGTTCTATTGCATTTATTTGGGAATGCAAGATAATTCTGATCTTCTACAACGTTTGATGTCTTTAAAATTACTCAGGAATACATCATACTGCGGCCAGATACTTCAACTCTTACCAGCTACAGTCCGAGCTATAAAGACCCAAAAAATATTCATAGACAACAAGTGGCGGGCCTTATGGTTAATTTCCAAACAATCATGGCTATTTTGGAGTATTTTCACAGAGGTTTATACTTTAATGAACAAGTAACAATGGATATTACTTAGCATCCACAAAACTAAAGTTCCCAAGGATGATGCTTTACTTCCCGTCCAGCCCCAGTTTCGTGGTCAGCCATGCACAAACTTCATCCATCTCCTCAGGGATTGTGTAATGGCCAAGCCTGAAGAACAACAAACTCAATAAGCCACAAGGGAGACGAGAAAATTTAACTGCATTCCAGCAACACCAAGAAAGAACATACCCATTGTAGGATTTGAAAGTCACATCTCCAAATCCGTTCGCAATCAACTGCTGTGAAGATTTCTCACCAAATTTGAAAGGTACAACGTCATCACCTGCATTCCGATAAATAATTGCCACATGAAAGATAAGTAGAACAATTTATGTTTACTCTCCAACAAATTGCACAGAGTAGGTGAATAAGATAATAAAAAGAGTTTAGAGATTAGCTAAAGAAATTTCCCTTTCAACCAATCAGCTACACCATAAGAAATGTAACGCGCACGCACACACACACTATGCCATCTCTAAATTGTGAGATTATAATTACTTCTACTTTATGAACTGATGTACCTTTTCCATGGCAAAGCAGAATGGGTAAGGATGCAGCACGACTAGCAGCCCCATCTACACCTTGAATTTTGCTACTTAGAACCCTGGTTGCAAATGGTTACAAGATGGGTCAATCATTTATGATAAACAATATTTATGAGAAAAAAGACAAAGGTTGAAGATTTAACAGCAAATGATTTCTAAAGTACAAAAAGCAATTTCCATCAGGAAAGAGTGAAGTCATACTTTGCACAGGGGAGCCATCCACTTAGTCCAACAACTGCACTCAAATTGACAGGATATGGGTTTCCATTTTCATACTTTCCTTGAACAAAAGAAGTTGCAGAGTACAGAGCTGTTGCTGCACCCATGCTGAAGCCCCCAACACCGAGTTTGACTGCAATCAAATGGAAAACAAAAGCTTAGATTCTTGCAGGACCTTTAATATACTAGCAAACATAAGAAAATGATTAATTCTTCTGGCGCAAGGTTTCTTCATGCATTTGCGGAGTAAGTGACTTGTCTGAGAAACTGTTCATTTTGAAATAAATCATTTTGACCACTTTTTATGCTAACAAGTAACAAGTTTCTGATTCGGGTTAAACGCCATTAATTTGATGAGTTCTAACAGTACAGTGGTGGAGGGTCGTTCGGCCAAAAAAATTTAAAAGAATTGATGTGGACAAAAAAAATTTTACTTGTGACTTTAGTGGACATAAGTAGTTGTCTAGGATTTGGCAAATACGAGAGTATAATTAGTAATTGTCCAGGATTTGCCAAATCCGAAACAATAAAAAATAACAAAATATTAATTTTTTTGTTATTTTGAAAAAAAAAAGGAACCGAAGTCAAAATGTGTACAGTAAACTCGGATTTTCGAAATCTGAGAGTTTCCCCAACATAACTTTTTTAAAAAAAAACTGAAGGGCGAGAAAATTTAAAATTTTATTTATGGTGGGAAAGTTTGAAAATTTAATAAATGAACAGTGAAATCGGATTTTGGAAATCCAAACTACCTTTTTTTTAAAAAAAAAATCTTTTAGTGCAAAAAACTTTGAAAATTTGAATTTTGATAGGAATTCGCATTAAATTGACATATCCACTTTTAAAAAAATATAAAATAAAAAATATTGTATTAGATATGATATTAATAAAATCTTTTATTACTAATAATTACTAGGAATTTACATTAAATTGATAAAAAATATATATTACTAATGTTACGTAGTATTATTAACTCTGATAGGAATTTGAATTAAATTAATTCAGTATAATTGATGAAAAATATATATTACTAGTGTTACGTAATGTTATGTACTATCTGTACGTACTAGTATTATGTCGTACATTAATATTATTACTCACTATACATCTCTAGTATTAGTGTTACTTATTACTGTTAAATCTGTTAGTCATTAGATATTATCATTAATTCAGTATAATTCATATGTATTATTGTTATGTACTTTTTATACGTACTAATATTATGTAGTACATTAATAACTATTATCCACTATACATTATTGGTACTAGTGTTACTTATTACTGTTAAATCTGTTAGTCATTAGATATTATCATTAATTTAGTATAATTCATATGTACTAGTGTTATGTACTTTTTATATGTACTAGTATTATATAGTACATCAATACTATTACCGACTATACATCAGTGGTACTAGTGTTACTTATTACTGTTAAATCTGTTAGTCATTAGATATTATCATTAATTCAGTAAAATTCATATGTACTAGTGTTATGTAGTTTTTATACGTACTAGTATTATATAATACATTAATACTATTACCGACTATATATCAGTAGTACTAGTGTTACTTATTACTGTTAAATCTGTTAGTCATTAGATATTATTATTAATTCAGTATAATTCATCTGTATTAGTGTTATGTACTTTTTAAGCACATAATCGAATTTTCAGAATTAGAGTTAAACAAAAAATTGGATTTTCAAAATCAGGCCATAGGGTTTAGGGTTTAGTTTCAAATTTCCCAAATCCGAGTTTAGCTTAAACTCGGATTTTGAAAATCCGAGATTAGCTTAAACTCGGATTTTCGAAATCCGAGATTAGCTTAAACTCGGATTTCTAAAATCCGACTTTTAGGGTTTAGGGTTTAGTTATGGATTTCCCAAATCCGATTTTAGTTTAAACTTGGATCCCGAAAATCCGAGTTTAACTAAAAAATTGGGTTTTCAATATTCAATTCAGTTTAAAACGTTAGATTTTAGGGTTTGGGGTTTAGTTCAATGTGCCTTGTGTATGGGCACTACCCTGGTGAACGCAAATCCGAAAGTTGCCATTTTCTAAACAACTCAGATTTCTCAAATCCGAGAGTAAGTATAGAGGGACTCGGATTACCGAAATCCGAGTCTCTTCCTTTTTATTATTAACTCTTAGAAATTTTTTCCAAAACTTAAAATATTTTTTTATTATAAACTTTCGGATTTCCGAAATCCGAATTTTCATGTTTCGGATTAAACTAATCCGTTTCTAGTCAACTTTTATTTTCGAACACTTAGATTATTTTTCTAAAAGATAAATATTTTTTTATTGCCGACTCTCGGATTTGCAAAATCCGACTCTTAATTAGTTTAAATTAATCCTTTGATTTAATTTAAGTAATTTTAGGTTACTAAAGTCTCGGATTACACTAATCCGAGTTTCGGTGGTCTCAGATTTGTGAGAAATCCGACTGTTCGGGAGAACTAGTATTGTCCACCTAATTTAGATCCATATTATTTTTGTCCAGGGTCTTTTTTAAATAATTTTTTGGGTAAAAAACTCCAGTGGTGGAGTAGAACCATCATGCGTGTCTCATGTATAGTGAATCAAAGCATCCAGAAAAAGGATGAAGGATAAAAAATTTATTTCGAGAATTTAGACAATTTTACATGGCATAAACCCAGAACCAGATGCTTATGGCTCTGCATATTAGCTCTTAAGCATCACGAAATCTTTTATTCACGTACTTTTGTGTGAGTTCTAACTAGCACGCAGGAATTTTGGAAATGCACAACTTATCCAGATTTCCAATTACAGACACTTAAAGTGTTTCAAAATTATTGAACCCAAAGAAAAAGAAAACCTAAAACCCCAAAGACAAATCAAAGTAAAGGAAAACATCACAGAAAGGAAATGAGAAACTTACTCTCTGGAGGTTCAGTAGCTAACAAACTTGCAACATATGCTGCTGCGGAATCCAATCCCTCCATGTCATCTTTAGCATGCTCAGAAAGGTCATTTACATCAAACCCTATATTAAAGGAATATATTTTAGATTTTCTGTCACTTGTAGCCAGAATTTTATTTTATTTTTTTTTCATATTAAAGGCATCATGTTTCTGATGAATGACAAAAGCTCAAGATAAAATAGTCTTAATGACTGATTTTGCTTCATCCTGTAAAGTTATGTTGATTATTCTAACATAACATTTCTTTGTTCCTCCTTTTCTTCAACAAGGCAATGTGATTATATAGCCCTTCCAGAAAACAGGAAGAAAACCCAAGAGTACTTACAAGCTGTTGAAGGGAAACCTCCAAATAAAGTAATTGGTTGCTGCGGAGCCGAGGGGCAGATCCATTTAATCTGCATTACATCACATGAATGAATATGAGAACTAATAGATAATAGACAGATTGTTTGTCAGTCTAGAAATTAACAATCTTTGGATCATTCTAGCAAAATACAAGCGACCGTCCTTACATTTGGAAGAGGAAGTGTCTCCAACAGAGTGGACCAGCTGCAAAAAAAGGACATAAAATGAGACAATGATAGTTGCAGTCACTGATGATATCTATAAGTAGCATCCATCATATTGAGTCCGCCACAAAGCACATCCCCCCAAAAGTGTGCATAGATACAAGAGGAACAAGATGCAAGAAGCATGAAGCAAAATGCAACAGCAATATGCATGCACTTTGGCATAAGCAACAAAAAATTGATGTTTTCAAGCAGACAAAAGAACTGTGGAAGCAAGATTGCTATTACCTAGAGCCATTATCGCCAAGACCGTGCAACCAAACTATTGTTGCCTGGTGTTTACCTTTGGGCCTTACAACATAAGTCCTTCCAAACTCAAATGCCCTTCTACAAGTTCTACTACCTGGCAGAGTCATCCACATTAGAGTTATTCACACATGGACAGGCAACAACAAACGCAACAACGAGACAGGAAAACACATTGAAGCTCTAACACTAAAAACCAATATTAAAAAGTGTATGGTGAACTACCAAGCTCGAAACGTTTGCCACAAGTTGTTGGGAGATAGGCCATGAAAGAGGAAAAACTGTTGTATCCGGTAAGATCGTGGATACAAGGGAATCTCTTAGGAAAGTACAAGCTAAAATGAAAATACCAGTAATCAGACAATAAAATAGTAATCTGGGGGGCTAAGAAGAATGCAACAAACCTGCACCCACGGAAGGTCCAGTAAAACTCATATTCGTTCAGATTAAGGTGCTGAATAATTTGTTTGCTGATAGGCTTCCCCTGCAGTAAAATCAATAACTCCATGGAGCTTTATAACAGTAAAATAACAAAAAAGAACTCGGAGCAAATTCATACAGCAATTATACTTTGGCATGAAACAAAGGGGCTAGTTCACAAGAGCACCTGAGGCCCTAAAATATTACACATATCTTGCATAATGTAACCGCTAATTGCAATGCAACCAAAAGGATAAGAAAATGTTCAATAGAAAAAACAAAGAAACCCAATTACTGAAAAGACCAATTTCTGATCGTGCCAATACACATTTACCCGTAATTAGAACCCTGCCCCAAATTCATAAGCCCGTTTCAGTGGCTGCCCTAACTATCTCCATTCAGGAGGAACCAAAGTTATTCCTCTGATTTAGCACCTAAAAGAAGCATTACAGAAAGAAAAAAAAAAAAGAATTCACAAAAACACACCACACAAGCAAACAAAGACACAAGAAAAAGGGTTCTTCGGATTGACGATTAACCAAGACGATGGGTAGTTGGATTAACAAAAGAATTGAAAGTCAACCTCCGAAAGGAGAAAAAAAAAAACACACCCAGTTTATCACATTCGCACAAAGTTGTTGGCTTTTATCGGACAGCGGATATAAGTGGTTGTTCAGATGATCTTGGCTAAAATAAAAGAAATTTTAGAGGGCAGCCCATGAATGAATGATTGATTGATTGGATTACCTGGGTCGAAGAATCTTCAGGCTTCTTCGGACAACACCACCACCACAAAGAAGTGTACTCTCACAGAAGAGAAAGAAAGACCAGTCTCACTTCAAAGGCCAAAACAGAAAACTTGTCTGCTACTGCTTATTTACTCCTCCCCCCTAAAATCCTCCTAATATTATCAAATCACCCCTTTTGGCCTTTTTTTTTTTTTTTTTGTTATTTTAAAGCTTAGTATATTGTTAAACTATTTTAATCGAAAATTTTGAGTTTAAAATTCATACCTAAGGAATAAATAAATGACATATGTGAACGTGTTTGGATTAGGAACAATCAAGGAAGGACTTTTCATTTTTTTCAGAATGCATCGGATTCTCAAGTGTCTTTTAAGAGCTTCGTATTCTCACTAATAATGGTTATTTAATTCATAAAAATTATACCCAACATTATCTTTGTCAAAGGGCAAATATATAGAGCATAAAGTGTCCCATGTATCATAACCTTTACATTTTCTGAAGATGTCTTTTCTTCCTTGTTACATTCAATCTTGCCTCTTATACTGTCTCGAGAAGTGAAAAAAGGTGACCAAAATTAAAGAATAAAATAGTTTCATCATCTCATGCAATTGATATCAAAATCTCATCATCGATGGTAATAAAGGATAAAAAGGCACGCAGTTTGATATGTTACTACTAATAGAAAATGTCTATTTATTTATTTATTTTTTTGTATAGTGAATAAGGCGAACAAATGCCTTGAACTATCATAAAGTTACGGTATATGGGTAGACTATACCCAATTATATTGTGTTCAATGAAAGTTTTAGCTACATTTAACTAAATACTCCCCCCAGTCCTTCTTATAAGGTATTTTAATTTTATCTTAGCTTTCATCTAGAATGTCTTTTTAATTGAAAAAAAAACCTTAAAAATATATTTTCACGTTCGTTGTGTTTTTCTAATTATTATGAAATATTTTTATTTCGATTAAAAAGATATCCTAGATAAAACCTAAGACGAAATCAAAATGCCTTAGAATAACGACCGGAGAGAGTATTATGTATCTTCTTAATGGAAATTTAAACAAATATACAAAAAAAAAAATTTATTTATGTATGTAAGAACAGAAAAAAGAGGCGGTCAATTTCCAAGTTATAGTTTACTCATAAAGAGAGTAACAAATACAAAAATGTGGTGTTTTACATAGCAAAAAGGCCGGTCGGGCTGTGTTGTCTAGTGTTTAACAAGTTGTGCATCTTTCAAAAGCTATAAACAGATGCGGAGAAATCGAAACACTCAATATGACATGTACACTGATGATTACAATCATGCAAAGTTGTACATTTGGAATGCATTCCTGAAGGTGGTGGAAAAAATGCCTATAAATAACTGTAACTAAAACAATGTCGTGTACCTTCACAAGTACTAGCTGTTTAGTTATGGCAATGATTGGAGTGCTTCTGCTTTCTTAGCTGATTCTACTTTCAGCATCTCATTCGGGTGTGGTTCTCTCTTTCACTGATCCCCATGATGGTACGTTTCAAAACTGTCTTCCGTTTCAACGAGGGAATTAGTATATGTTAAGTAGTTCTTAATTATACTCCCTCCGTCCCAATATGATTGTGTGGCATGCTTTGGCTGGACAGGATCTGTAGCTGCCAATGAGAACCTGTGATCCTTCATAATTGTAATAGGAATGACACATTACTCGTTGATTGGTTTCTATGTAGAACTCTAGTTTTGTATGCTTCATGTCAAAGATATTAATGTTATAGAAGCCGCGCAGAAGCGAAAAATTCATTTGTATTTGCCTGTCAATGTGGTTGCAAACGGGAAAGGATGCACATCTGATGGGAAAAAAGATAGATTTGATTGGAATCCAGAACATGTTCCATGATTTTTTTTTTTTTTTTGCTGGTCAGTAGAGTTTGCCTTACTGATATACTCAGGCCTGCAAAAAGTCTTATAAAAGAATTCGGTGGAGAATGCAGCTGCTGTTCTCATGTCAGTGAAACAACAGTGGGGAAACACACCACCAAGTTGGAATGTTTCTGTTGATCCTTGTGAAGGTTGGGAGGGAGTCGCCTGCGACAGCTCATCACGAGTGGTTACGTTGTATGAAAGATCTGATCATAGGCCTTGAACATATTTCTCTTTGGTTATATACTATGTTGCTGCCTGCTGATCATCTAATGCTCTTGATATGAAATTGCAGGAGCCTATCTAGTATGAATTTTACAGGAACTCTTACTGATGACATCTCGGGACTCACTGAACTAACATCCTTGTGAGCTTTCTTCCTTCAATTCTCAGTAGAATTTTAGCTAGCCGATTTCTTTCTAGTTCAACATGATGGTTTATATGCATTATCACTTCTAAGATACCTAATGTTTTGCAGGGACCTGTGTTGAATCATCTCACAGGTTCTCTATCACCGCGGCTTGGGGATCTGCAAAAGCTGAGAATCTTGTGAGATTCTACATGATTTCTCCCATTGCCACTATCTATATACTTTCTTGCACAATGGTCTTTGATGGTTTTGTTTTTTTATCACTCAGGATCCTAACTGGATGCCGCTTCAGGGGTGAGATACCAAATGAATTGGGGACTCTTGTGAACTTATCCTTCCTGTAAGCTCTGGGAAATTAATGCATTCAAGTCATACTTTTCTTGCAAGATTAATCATTCAGCCTCATGTTTTTTTTTTTCCTTTTTGCAGAGCGCTGAATGAAAACAGCTTCAGTGGTGAAATACCAGCTTCTTTAGGCAGTCTCTCGAATCTATATTGGCTTGACTTGTCTGATAATCTGTTGTCCGGAGCTATTCCTGTTTCGACATCAACAACTCCAGGACTTGATCTTCTTGTGAAGGCAAAACATATGTAAGAGTTCAGATTTGATAGTTTGATCCAAGAATCACACTTTGCCCTTTTGTCTAGACAAGTTTTCCTAACTATGTACAGCTTTGCAGACATTTAGGTAGAAATAATCTCTCTGGTACAACTCCTCCTCAACATCTCAGCTCAGACATGGTCCTGACACACTTGTAAGCTATCACATAATCAAGCCTCTTGGCATTTGGTTTATCAATGATCCAATCTGACTGATTATCCCTTAATTGATAAGGTTGTTGAATGGAAATAGACTAACTGGAGAAATTCCAGCCTCATTAGGAAATATTCAGACTCTGCAGGGTTCTGTAAGTCCTATCATCTTTATTCTCCCTGATTCAGATTTCCTCTACCCTAATGATGCAACCTCTTTTTCTTACTTAAAATTGCTCGTATATTACAGAGTGCTGGACTCTAATGCTCTTGTTGGTGAAATTCCAGATCTAAACAGCCTCATCAACCTAAACACACTGTGAGTGCTTGACTTGAGTTAGACATTAGTAAGAGATATCAGATGGTGAAACATAAGAAAATGGTTTTCCTCTCTAATTCCTACATATTCTTACAGGATTTTAGGAAGCAATTTGTTTTCTGGACCTTTACCGGACTTAAGTGGAATGAATGACCTCAATTATGTGTAAGGAGCTGAATTGAAAATTGCATTTAGGGTTTTGACAATTCATTTCTGATATTACTTCCTCCATGTAGGGACTTGAGTGGAAATGCTTTTCAACCATCACAAGCTCCAGCTTGGTTCTCAACCTTAAATTCACTGAACACTTTGTAAGTATTGAACCCATTACATGCTTTTAAGTCAGTTCACACATCTCTATTAAACTAACGTTTCTCTTGTCTTACTATATCTGTGAATGCTCAGGGCTTGTGAGTTTTGTTCCCTCTTTGGAGAAGTGCCTTAGAAACTTTTTAGTTTGCCTCAACTTGAAGAAGTGTAAGTTCAAGTATCACAAAAAGTTAATTCTACAAAATCTTTCATCTACCTTCCACAGAAGTAAACTAATCTTTTTCTTGTGTATATACTCCCAGGTATCTCAAGAACAATTCGTTTAATGGTACCTTAGACTTCGGTGACAACATCAGCCAACAACTTCAAAGTGTTGATTTGCAGAATAGTGGGATAACTTCTCTAGTTTTAAATTCTGGATACAACAAATCTTTACTGTGAGACATTTCAATGAATACTAGCACATTTGATTCATTCAAGATAAGATGTTTCTTCCTACAATGACATTCTTCATTAATCATCTTGACTTCTTCCTCATTCCACAGTTTGAGGGGCAACCCCATATGCCAAACTTCACAAAATGTTACCGCTCGCTGTTAAAGAACCAGTGAAATGAGCCTAAGGATGGAGTTCAGATTGTTACCTGGTGCGCCGTTTCTGTTGAATGCATTCCAAGACAGAACTTTAGATGGAAATCGGACCCTGTCCCTCAGCAGGCAATTTTCTCAAAAGCTCATAGATTCAGACATGGGATTTACAATGAGGAGCCAGACCTTCAATCTTACAAGTTTCCAGGTGATCCTTAAATTTAGAGAACTAGCAGAAAGGATCAATCTACTTATTTCAATTACAATGTACTTTTAGGAAAAGACTTCTAAGAATTTTATAATTCACATTTCATGAGAATGCCTTCAAATAACAAACTTTGGAAGTCTCATCATGTGATTCATATCATGAATGCTTAAATCTTTGAATTCAGAATTTCGCTGTATGACTATGACCTATTCTTAAAGGCCAAGCTTCTAATTTCTACCAATCCAAAAAGAATAAGAAAGCAACTCAAAATTGGTACTTCTAAGCAATGCAGAAGGGAACAACCCCTCATATGTAATTAGAAAGTGTATGATGCTATAGTTTGCAAGATGACCAGGTTACCTACTTGACTGATACAATCCTATGTTGAACTCTTCAAAAAATTTACATCTCTCCTAATGGAGTAGCTATGATAAAGAAAGTTAAGGACCTTATCGCCCAGAAAGTATCGATAATGTATATGAATAACTCGATGTTGAAGGGAATGTCTGCAACGTTCGATTCAATTCTGTGGCATCCAACATATTGCCACCATCAGGGATTGAACCTTCATCAATGTTTTCTATCATATCGGCAATCAGCATCGGACTCTCAGGCGGCACATCCACTGGCACACGGCCTTCAAGCATTTCCACCACGACGGCCATACTTGGTCTAACCCCAGGATCCTCTTGTATGCACCACAAAGCTATACAAACCAGTCTTCTCACCAGCCTCTCATCAAGGTCTCCAGCTTGAAGCAGCCTTTGGTCAACAATCTCCATAACTTTGCCTTCCCCCAATTTCTCGCTCGCAATCTTTGCTAAACAGTGAAACTTTTTCCTGGTTCTATGACCATTGCCTTTCTCAATTATGCAGATCATATTCCTTCTTCCACCAATGATTTCCAAAAGCACCAATCCATAACCATACACATCACACTTTTCAGAAACACCGTTTTCCAGTATCCATTCCGGGGCTAAGTACCCTCTAGTCCCCCTAATCCCTGTCACTATCCTACTCTCATCTTTGCCCTTTAGCTTAGAAAGCCCAAAATCAGCCACCAGGGCATGAAATCTCTCATTAAGGAGAATGTTTTCAGGTTTGACATCAAGATGCAAAATACAGGACCTACAATCATGATGCAAATATGAAAGAGCCTTGGCAACATCAATTGCTACTCTGCACCTCAAATCCCAAGACAGACATCCAGCCCTGCAATTTTGAGCGCCCTGATTTTCCCTTCCTGGAAAAATCCATTTATCCAAGGAACCATTGGGGACAAACTCGTAGACCAGAAACCGCGGCCCAGATGGCGCGCTGCAGTATCCAAGGAGGCGAAGAAGGTTGACATGCTGCACACTAGCAATGGCTGCTACTTCTGATCTGAATTCCTTCTCTCCATGTTCATCTCCAGGAATCCTTTTGATTGCCACAGGGGTTCCATCGGATAAAAAACCTTTGAAAACCGAAGCTGATGCTCCGCGGCCTAACAAGGATCGAAAACTGTCGGTTGCCTCTTCAAGTTCCTTGTACCTGAACCTAGTTGGAACTCCTGCCACTTTCCTGAGGAAACTGTACTCAACTCTTAGCTCCCTTCCCTCTGAAACAATCTTATTCTCCAAGAGTAATCTACTCCTGTTGTACCGCCTTCGGATTATAAGGACGGCGAAAACAGCAATGATTGCTGCAATATTGGCTCCACAGATTAAGAAAAAAACCTCAGAAAGTTTCAAAACAAGACGAGCAACAATGATGGTGACCGTAAAAATGGCAACCAATACAACAGCAATTATGTTTGCTTTTCTTTCCTCCATTGATGCATCATTCCGATTTCCCCTCCAAATATACAGAACAGAAGACTTTCATCGTTTTTTCCAAAGATTTTGGTCCTGAAAAACGGTGCTGAAAAGTTGAATCTGATCAACAGAATTGAATGCAGGATGTAGGACCTCCAAAGTTAATATGGTATAGGCCACTTGGTGGAGGACAAAAAAAGACCAGAATCCATTTCTTTCAACTTGGCTCTGTGAATAATTAGCTATAAACTATGTCTGAAAATTGGAAAGATTTACCCTATCACCAAATAAACAAAGACTCTCAGTTCAACTACTGCATTGCATCATCAAACCATTTCTTTTTATATTTTTTTTCAATAATGATACACACAACTTTGCCAATAATTTTACTTTACATCTCTATAAGCATCACATTCATTCACCTCATTGGTTGTTGGCGTGAATAAAAATCGTCTTTCAACTCAAATCAAATAAATAAATGCAATGTAACGTAATTAGGGCCTAAACTTTTTTATACTAGGGTGAACCAGCTAGGAAATTTTGTGGGAATTATCATACTTTGCTCAAAAATAACAAAATATATCCTTTTCCCTCCTCCTCATAATCAGGCTTTTCTTGAAATTAAGACATAAATTCAACGTTGAAAACGTATGCATATCATTGTCAATCATCCATCCAAGAAAGACAAAAAAAGCACCCCCAAAAAAATTGTTTCTGATTTTAACCTTTATTTCAATCGAGTAGTCGTATTTTAAAGTAGATTTTTTTTTTCGATCTTATATTAATTGTCATGTTTTCTATAATAAAGAGTGAACAGCTTCGAAGGTCACCAAATTATGCGAAAGTACGCAGTTTTTCACATAATGTAGTGATGTTTGCGGAGGTTCACTCAACATAGAGTTGTACAAATAATTTTCGAAAAAAAAAAAGAGTTGTAAAAATAATTTTTTTTAGACGGATAGTAGAGACTAGCATAGTAAATGAATTTGAATCAATTTGCATACTTTGAAGTTAACTTTCGACCGAAAATTAATCTTGTGAATAAATGCTGGCCGGCTTTGACTAATCAAAGGTACGGAAGACGAAGTCAACTAGTGGCGTTGATCGGTTGAATAATTAATAATACCGAGTACTATTTTAGTACCAGAGTAGTAACATTTATGAGGTTTATGAAGGAAGCTCAAGTGTCATTCGTCAAGTACTCAAGTCCATAAAAATTTTGACAAAATGTCATTTTACTTATTGATTAATTATTAGTTTTATATTAAGCAACCTACTCTTAAAAATGAATAACACGAGTAAAATACTGTTTGACACCCAATGGCTGAAAGTATTACAAGCCAAAAACATCACCAACGAGGTCACGAATAGAGCAAAACTATTCATAAATTGATATTTCAAAAATTCAGCAAAAATAAGCTGATTGCGTTCATCCGAGCTAGAAAGTATCGATTATGATGTTTGGGGGGCGTAAAATTTATATCATATGCTAACTGCGATATGATTTCTGACTCAATATTTCAGCCAATGATACTAAATAATAAATACTAGAAATTTCTTAACAAAATTAAATTCAACATTTTATTTGAAATGTCAATAAACATACTCGTTAAACTGAGAAAAAGATTGATTTTATTGATCTGATAATTACTTACCATCTTTTTATAAACACGATTAGACATCGACCTTTTAAGTAGATGCATGCAATATGCATAATATAATTGGTGCGTGTGGTTTCCATTTTCATTATTTACTAAGAGTATAGTTGTTTGTCCGAAAATAATCAGTAGAAATTGACGCACGCTTACAAACAATTTCAGACGAAAATGCGTAATTTATGAGATGCAATATTCTGCTTAGGCGTGAAGAAAAAAGGATGTAAAACTTGTAATAAATCGAATAAAACTGAACTGTTGATAAATTGATGAACTTAAACGAAATACAATGAGTAAATCGAATAAAAAGACTTATGAAAGGTACTTGAAAAAGAATAACAGAGTATGAAAAGAAAGATAAGAGCTTTGCAGCTTATGTTTTGTCTGTGTTGATGATGAGATGTGTCCTGTGTCGCTCTATTCTTCCTATTTATATAGGGCTCGGTAATCATTGAGGCGGTGCGATCTCCAATTCCTACTCGAATTCGGTATTGCCAATTTAGAATCACAATTGACTTTTATTTCCGATTCCTTGTTTCTTGCCGCAATTGTAATTCTTCTTGGACTTGGATTTGGCTTTCTCCTGCGCTGAGTTGGACTTTCGACACGTCTCCTTCTCCGATTCGGACATGGACTATCCTCTTTCCGCGTCAGATGTATGCTTCTTATGTAATTTGGCCGATTCACTACTTTTGTTGGGTGTACTCGATTTTAATTAAAATCGGTGATAACAAATAGTTTCCAAATTTTAATTGTGTAATAATTTATTTCATTCATCAAAATATTCATTATTTAATCAATTGTATTATCTAAACTTAGATATTATTATACATATATAGAATGCCTTTTTTTTTTACTAACATGAGACGATTAATACACAAATCGACGAGTAAGCCAAAGTTATGAATTATGCTTGTCGGATGTATCTAAATGCTTTTTTTTTTTTTTACTAACATGAGATGATTAATACACAAATCGACGAGTAAGCCAAAGTTATGAATTATGCTTGTCAGATGCCCTAGTAAGTAGTAAGTAGTATTTCATCCGTCCCAAAAAAGTAATCTAATTTAAAAAACTACGAAATAAAAAAAAATAGATGGGTTAATCTTTTAAATAAAAATGTTAATTTAGAAAATTGAGTAAAATATCATACCTGCTTATCAAATTTACATAGAGTTTAGATTTACCAAATCTCATTAGTCTAATAAAAATTAAGTTGTTAGTATACTTCCTCCTAGAAAAATAGATTTTAAGATTAGTCTGAACTGAAATTTTTTCTTTAGGGAAAATTTGGATTAAAGGCGGTAGAGAGTTTTAATTAATAAAAGGGATATAAGTTTAATATAATATGAATTAAAGACAATAAATTAATTTATCAAATTTATAAAATAAAATTATATATGCCCTGACGAAGATAACCCTGCTTCTCTTATGTCTCCGTGGAAAAAAAAAATTGTGCCTGCCGATAGGAATTACAGCTGCACTTTTGGTTTCTGCAAGCCATAGTTTCACTTATTATTATTATTTTTTTTTTTGAAGGCAGCACGCAGTGCTATCATTTTATTGATTAGAGACATTAGGTACATCAGTTTCTACACACATTTGGCTTGCAAGATCATGAGCTTCACTCACCTGGGAACGAGGGACGTGATCAACTAAAATTTGAGAAAAGCATCAAGTAGCTTCCGCTCCTATTTACTATCTTTGTAAACTAGACCAAGCCAAATTATTTCGGCTCTTTATGCATGAAATTAAATTGCCTACCCCAAAAATTCAAACGAATTGACTTCAAAAATTTATTAATCAAATTGCGATTATTACCTTGCAAAAGATGTGATGGGGGACTCTAGGGTTGAAACTCGATGATAAGTAGTGGGAGACAAAGTTCTCTTTGATCCTTGTTTTTTTTTTTTCACGCTAATATGAGCTACATAGAAGAAGGGGCATTTATGTCATAGTATAAATGATTTAATTTTATAAATTTGGCAAAGTAATTTATTGCCCTTAATCCATAGTATGCAAAAGTTGTGCCCTTTTTATTAATTAAAACTTCTCTACCGCCCTTAATTTAAATTTTCCCTTTTCTTTAATTAAAATGTCAAAAAAGAAAAAAAATAAAAATTGGGATTCCTATTTTTAATGAATTATTCTTCCCTCCGAACAAAGAAAGGCATTGGTATAAATAGCCCCTAACCTAACAATCAAAACTTTTTCTTTCTTTAACGTCTGCAGTCCAACTTGTTCTACCCTCAAGTGGCTCACTCCGGCTTTGGGTTTAGGGAAGAGCTATACCGAGGCGATGGCAAGCAACCGCGCCGCAATCTCGGCCAACGGCGGTGGCGCCGGCGCCGCCGTGGACAAAGGTGTGGACTTTGCCAACTACTTCTGCACCTACGCCTATTTGTACCACCAGAAAGAGATGCTCTCCGACCGCGTTCGTATGGACGCTTATTTCAATGCTGTTTTTAGGAACAAGCATCACTTCCAGGGAAAGGTAAAAGACTTTTTCTTTTTCTTTTTTTCACTTCACAACCCTCTTTCTTGTGTTCAGTTTCAAGTACCATTATGCTTTTAGATTTCATGGTTTCTTTGAAATTGGGTTGAGCTCGATTGTTTGTTAAAATGTTGTTAATCAAAGATGGAATGTTGTTGTACTTAGCTGGAAAGAATCAAACTTTGAATATTAAGGCTCAGTTTTTTTCTTAATGGAAATTCATACTTGATTTTAGTTTGTTGATTCTTTATTCATGAAAACTCTACCATTGTCAAATTCATTTTCAAAATGGGGTGTTTTGTGGTTGTGGGAATGATAAATCGGTGAATCCGTGGAGCAGGCTGTTCTTGACGTAGGAACCGGGAGTGGCATTTTGGCTATATGGTCGGCTCAAGCAGGTGCCAGGAAAGTTTATGCTGTGGAAGCTACGAAGATGGCTGAACATGCCCGGGCACTTGTAAAGGCAAATAATCTTGAGGGTATAGTTGAAGTGATCGAAGGATCTATAGAGGATATTACACTACCAGAAAAAGGTTATATTGCTTGTCACTTAATGTGATTTGGGTTAACTCTGTTTTCGTTTGATTGTGTTGCATTGTTCCCCATGGAATTACTCTTTTATTATGCTTATTTGTAGTGTTGGTTTTTTCTTAGTTGATGTAATCATCTCGGAGTGGATGGGATACTTCCTTCTACGTGAATCGATGTTTGATTCAGTAATATGTGCCCGTGACCGTTGGCTGAAGCCTGGTGGGCTTATGTAAGTTTGCAGCTTTGCCGATTCATTGCATCCCATCTGCCATTTTGTTTGCACTTTTCATCTGTTTTATTCCTGGGGAAAGGGGAGGGGGCAGGTTTCCTGTAACAAAATTGGCGTGATTATATCCCAGATAGATGAGTAATAGACATCAACATACATATTAAATTATGGACTCCCCTTAAAGTATTTTAGGTCTTTTAGCTGTAAATTCTGTTTCATGTTTGTTTGATGCTGTTACTGCTTCTCTCTAAGTTGATTGTTTGTGCTTTCCCCTTGCAGGTATCCCAGCCATGCTCGCATGTGGGTGGCTCCTATCAGGTCTAGAGTAGTGGATCAGAAAAAGGATGATTATGACCGAACCATGGAGGACTGGTACAACTTTGTTGACGAGACCAAAGCCTCTTATGGTGTTGACATGAATATATTTACAAAGCCTTTCAAAGATGAACAGAGAAAATACTACTTACAGGTTAGTGCTCCAGATTTGCGAATTTTCAGTTCTTAAATTTCCAATTTGTGAATGTTCAGCAAATGCTGTTTTATATCCCTTTCGTTTTAGTGCTGTGTTTTCACATCTAAGAATGGATTGATCTTAGATTGTGACAGACACCCCCTTCCCCTCCCTCTTCTCTGTTACTAGAATGCTAGTTGAACATTTGTTGTTTAATATCTGGCTTAAATGCTGCTTTGTATCCAAAGTTCGATTACGCATTATATCCTCTTTCAACGACAAAAACATGATAGGAGTAGAACTGCTGGAGAGTTAAGTAGTGCCTTGTGTGTTTTGGAGGTACCTCAATTTATACTTTTCATTTTTGTATTGAATGGAAGTGTGATAAAGAGGGTATCTATATGCATGTCTTTTGATATCTTATTGTGTAGGATATATCAATTGCTTTATTGACGTGTTTGCTGCCATTTTATATCTGTTGGGTGAATTTAACTCTACGCTTGGTGATACTTGATTTTGAACTGTTAAGGATAACGATATCATTTTAAGGCCTGTATGTTTGTTAATTTCAAGTGTGACATATCTGATTAAAAAAAAAAAAACCTGAGTTATATTGTACTCTATAGATATCCATCTGGAAGATTGACTTTCAGGAAACTAATCTCCTTTACCTGTTTAGGAATGAAAGAGCATTGCCATATTTCTTGATTGTGTAGACTGAGGACGACATGTTTTGTATGCTATTGTTACTTATCCATACCAATACTAAAGTCCATGTTACATTGCTGTTTGTTTTAGACATCCCTCTGGAACAACCTTCATCCAGAACAAGTTATTGGAGATGCTGGAATCATTAAGGACATAGATTGCTCAACGGCAACAATAGATGATATCCGTAGTGTTCGTTCAAGCATCTCTTCTTCGATCACTGAAAATAATAGGTTCTGTGCATATGCTGGATGGTTTGATGTCCATTTCCGAGTGAGTATGAAGCTATCGTCTGTTAGTAGTTGTATCTTATGGGATTGAGGCATGTATTGAAATCTGCAAACTCCATTCCAACAGGGAAATAAGCAGAATCCTGCACGAGAGGAAATCGAACTGACCACTGCGCCAAGTGAAGAGCATGGCACCCACTGGGGCCAGCAGGTATGCGAGAACATGGTTTGATTAGCTTGTGCGTGGTTCTTAATGTTTGGGGGTTTAAATGAAGCTTTAGGGTAGATGTCTTCCCTCACTTTGAGTCATATTTCACCTCTTGTTATGAAAAAGTCTCACTTTTGGTTACTCAATTTTTTTATTTGATTCAGTTACAATAACAAATAGTGAAAATATACGAGAAGCGTGTTAAATTTTATTGCAAAGCCATTTGTGATTTAATCAAAAGTTTAATGTTTGAAATTTTACCTACAACATATTCAAGGACAATTGGGGTATATAAAGAAATAAGAATAAGCAAGGTTTAACATATAAAATATATGATTATTTAATCGAGCTGTAATTCCTATCTTTCTAAAAAGAAAAAATGTAACCTGTTAGAAATTACGTAATAAAGAAGAAAGAAAAAGTAAGAAGTTTTGGAAGTTGAGCTCTTTTATCGCGGAATTAAACTATTCTTAAGATTTAATTGTGTTTAGTATCGTAGATAGAAGATCGAAAACCAAATGATTGGTTTTATGTCTGGACTATTTGGCTAGAATTCATGTTAATTTTCTTAGTTCTGATTGTACCAGTTCAACTATATCTGTACCCTTGAGTTGGTAAAATTCTGCTTTTAGTAATATTTTGTAGTTTGCATGTGAAGTTCTGTTTGCTATTTTTCTTCAAAATCAAGCTGTTCTCCATTTAAGACCCCTTGAACATACTAGCACAATCTACCTTCGTTTTCTGCATAGATTTCTCACTTCGGATGTTAACATAGGTAGAAAGTATTTATACTGTGTATTATTAGTTCCCCATTTAAGTACGGAAGCCTGATAAGAATCCTCAACTTCCAGAAGCTGAAAGTTCATCCCTCTAGAAAACTTAGGAGCAATGTGAAGAGTACCTATCTTCAGTTCCACCTTCCCTTTTGTTTCTCTTCATTTTTGTTCTTTACTTTTTCAATATGCAACATTAAATGCTGTACCTAGATTGATTTCTTTCAAGATGCAGCAGCTATTGTTAATATTTTCATTTCTCTTGTATTTTGGTCAGGTTTTCCTCATACATCCTCCTCTCAATGTTGAGAAAGGAGACGCATTAATAATTGATGTGTCTATGGATCGCTCTCAAGAAAACCATCGACTCATGGAGGTCGAATTTGGTTGTGAGATTAGGCATTGTTCTGGGAAGCTGCGTCCACCTTTGAAACACAAATTCTATATAGAATGAATCAACGAGATGGCAAGGCTGTTGCAAGACCATCACAGGTGATAGGTATTAGTTAATTAGGAACTTAATCCTGTAATTCTTGTAACCTTTACATGAGTTAGCAGCTGGATTCTGGTGCTGATCTTTGATTTGGTGAACTAAAATTAGGTTTTGCCAGGCCTGACTTACATGTGCCCATTAATCTTTTTAGCTTTGCCTGATATATTTCAAATTTGCAAGATATGTCACTTTTATACATTCTTGATTCCGGAATGCTCTGGCTTGTTTCTTCCTTTCCTCTTGCTTTCCCTTTTGATGGATTTTTTTTTTTCTTTTTTTTTGGGTTCAAGATATGTCACTCTTTTACATTTTTGGGGGTGGTGGGTGTGGTAAGGTAATCGGGCATGGCCCATCCTCACTATTACTATGTGCGTTAAGTTTCTGGACCAAGTATAAATTTCTTTTATTCGTGCTGGGAACTGAAATGACGAAATGCATGCAATGTGGTTTCTCAGGCACATTTTGCAATTTTCTCTGGGTTTTCAGTGCTGAATGGAATTCTCGGCCGCATGCTCTATATAAGTGTATGCAGTGGAGTTTGAATGGTTCTTGCTTCGGGTTTCCATATCTATTGGAGCAGTATAGAAGTTTTTTCTGCACCAAATCTTGTAGCTTTATTTGAGTGGCTTTCTAGTTTTCATCTTTAGGTTTTAAGTAGCTTCTTTTTTCTTTTTCTTTTTCTTTTTGTTTCCCTTTTTCTCGTTGGTATTTAGGTTAGGTTAGGAAAGAGTGGCAAGATACAGATGAGATGGAGTTGTTGTTACTTGTTACTGCCATTCATGGATACCAGTTTTCGCAGATGTGTCCAAAGCCATGAGAGAAACCAACATAAAATGTCTATTCCTACCAATGGAAATCCAGTTTTAATTATGACTTCTTTGCAAGTTTGCTGCAATGTTTTCTGACTACATCATGATTTGTGGCTTCACAGGTGACTGCTTGTCAATGTCTCAGTTTACTTACCATGGGGTATACTCTATTTAATAGTGGCTGCTTACCTCGTGGAACTGCCTTTGATTGAATTGCAACTAAAAAAAGTTGACGATAACCCTCTTTACTTGAACAGCCATTTAAAATTCTCCCTCTAACCCAATTTATAAAGGCACATTTTTTGAGTTTTATAAATAGGAAGGGAGAAATTAAGAGGGAAGAAGAGGAAGATTACGTCAGTGTTACAGTAAAACACTGCATTGTTTTGTTTGTTATTTGTATCAAATGGGGATTTTAAACCTGTGATTATAGGAAGCAGAGAGCATGTGGTAACACTTAATATAGAAGGATGGATCACATGCATTGTCCTTTAATTACGTTGAAAACGAAGCTGATTCTGTGGGGAAAAAAAAAGAGATTAACCCTTCAAAACACATTTCTTAAGCATCCTAAAGTCAAAATCTCTCCTCCTTTCCTTCCCTTACACTTGAGATTTTCGAGAAAGCAAAGGGTTTCACACTTTCCACAACTCATTTTCATGGATCCACTTCTGTCTATAAAACAGTTCACTTCTTCTTCCCCTATAACTCATTCTTTCTCAACTCCAAACATTTTCAGAGGTTTTTTTTGCTGTCCGGTCAATATGTACAGGACAGCGAGTGTTTCCCGGGTGTCCGATGAATACCTGCTGAACATGTCCCCGGCAGCTTCAAAGGTCGGGTCACCGTCCCCGAACCCGAAGCTGCTGTACATTGCGGCGTCGGATGACGACGGAGACGATTTCCATGTGAGAACTCCGATACTTGATGCTGAGAAGAAAGTGGGTTCGCCGATGAAGAAGTCGACGTCAGGAGAGAAAGCGGTTCATCTGATTCCAGTTGTGCTCATTCTTTGTGCTTTAATTCTTTGGTTATTCTCTAAACCAGTTTCCCCTTAAATTAATTTTGTTTGGTTCTTTATTAAAGGGACGAAAGGAGGGTGGATGTAAGTTCAGTGATCGATATTGCTCTCTACTTTAGTCTTCCATTTGTTTTAAGATACTCTCCATCCATCCATCCATCGCACTATACTTATTCCGTTTAAATTTTTATTTTCAATACGATGATGGACGTGCAATATTCTTTTTTTATTTCAGAAAAATGTAATAATACTTAGCTAAAAAGCATTTGGTTTTTCAAAAATCGAACTGCATTATTTCTTCTTCTCTGTTTATTTCAGAGCAAGTACAAATTAATTAAGAAATTACAACAACACACATTTACAATATTAAGTTTCAATCAAGAATCAAGGCTAATTCCTCATGGTAAGGGTGAAATTCACATGTATTTCTTTCCCTTCGAAAGCCTATGTGTAATTATGCAAATTTTTTTTCTTCTTTTTTTATAATAATTGTGCTGTTTGGTAGACATCGTCAAATCGCTATCTTGGGTCTATCTCGGTTTGAAGAAGGATGGATTTGGTTGGACACAATGTGGAGATATAATAATACTCCAAAAAAATAAATATTAAACACCTTCACCTGGGGTCCCAAAAAAAAATAAAATAAAATAAAATTACACTTTTTCTGCGGATAGGAAAATGGTAAAAAGAATAATTTGTCCATCTTGAATATATAATGATTATAGAGATCTTGTACTCCTCTTGATGAGAAAAAGAATGGTAAAAAGAATTATTATTTTTTTGGGACGAAATTATTGAAATTATACTTTTCATGAAAATTTCAATACGCACAAGCTCTTCATTGAGATTTCCTCCTTTTTGTTTTCAGGGGAAGAAAGACTTAAAATGAAAACTAATGGTGGTTATGTGTCTTTGATAATCAAAAACAAAAGGCTTTGTTTTCTTAAAAATCAAAACTTAAGTTTCATAGTCAATCAGGTAGGAAGAAAACGCTCTTTATCACTAGTTCAATCATCAGAATTCAGTAAGATGAGAAAAAAATATATATTAGAGTCTCAAAGTCACAATCACCAACTCCAAAACCTTTGATTTAATTATTTTGTAATACTCCCTCCGTTCCAAAATAAGTGTTGTTTTGGGCAAAATGAAAAAATTTCAAAATAAGTGTCGGTTTCAGATTCCAATGCATTTTTTCTCAAAAATTTCCAAACATACCCTCAAAAGGAATAATATTATTGGTGAACATTTATTTTAATGGGGTTGGTTGAGGATATTCTAGTAATTTAGTTACCATATTTAATGTTTTCTTAAACTGTGTGCAAACTCTAGAATGACATTTATTTTGGAACGGAGGGAGTACTAAATTAACCTTCCAATTTTATTTTTTTTTAATTTAAACGAGTTATGCAATGCTTGTACCAGATTTCTATGACATATCTCCACACAAGAACCTTTCTGCAAATGTCCTTTTTAAAAACAATTTATATTAGCTGTATTTATGTATAACTCATTTAATTTTGTGAACCGTACTAAAATTTCTCAATACATAGTTAATGAACTTGATCATGTTAATAAGATTAGTCAACTATCAATAGATATTATACACGATTAATCGACAAAGAAATTTGACATCAATTTTGTATTTCCTACAATCTAGAGCCCCACTTAAAATCATTATCAGATAAACATATTTGGTATGGTAAAGATAGTTCATTTCACCTTAAAAGATAATGGAAAATGAAGGTAATTTAATGTGGGTCGTCGATTTTCAACACGATATTATATGAACAGAACTCAATTTATATAGCGAAATGAAAAGACACAAAAGCAATACAAAAATTATGATCCTATAAAGTATGTTATGATTATATCTTAAGAATACTATACTCTTTCCGTTCCATAATTATTGTCCAGTTTGGGTTTTCTTTTTTAGTTCAAATTATACCAAAAGTGAAATCTCAAACTGGACAATAATTTTGGGAGAGAGGGAGTAACTTTCTAACACCATATTCTGCAAGTCACTCTTATAATTTACAAACTTTTTTAGTTTTAAAACACGATAAATACATCCGTCATTTTGGAACGGATGGAATTCAGAATACAAAGTACAAAACATAATAAGGGGAGGTGGTGACTTGATCCAATGGCAAATGCTATGCCAAAAACAAAAAGAGAATGGGGAAATTAGGTAAGTAATAGTGCGTAGTACGCAAAGCGAGCCCACATTAGCCCAAACTGCCTATTCTTACACAGTTGTCAACTTGGCTTAACCATAATCTTTTAACCCACAGGATGGAGAAGCCACAAACCAACAAACCACAATTTATCATTTATTAATTAATTAAACAAACAAAAAAGATGAGATATATGATAAATTCATGTGTTATTATTCTCAAAAAAGATGTTGTAATGTATTTTTACATTAATGAAATTATTTTAGAAGATAGAAATAGGAAAGCTGTGATATAATTTTTTTATATTATTTTGTGAGACGCATGAAAACTCACGCACAAGAAACAAAAAGACAGAATAATACACAAAATTAAAATAATATAGTACATATTTGAAGGAAAGGAAATAGGAAAAAAGAAAAGAAAAAAAAAAGCAAAACAAATTTTTCAAACAATCCATTGCCTAACCTTTGCAGTTTTGCTTGCCTTCACCTCTGCGAATTTTTTCTGATTCCATAACAACCCAGAAGTTGAACTTGGTAAATCTCTCTTCCTTTTCTCTCTCTCTCTCTCTCTCTCTCTCTCTCTCTCTCTCTCTCTCCCTTTTTGATTCTGTTATAAATTTTATAATTTTATTTTTTTTTGGGTTTTAATTTGGAATTTCCATTTGACTTGCTGTTTGATTTCGTTTCTGAAACTGTTGGTTTGGGTTGGTGTACTTAATGCAATGGTTTTGGTGGAAGGTTTTTAATTTCGGAAAGAATGCTCGTAAAGTTTGTGTCTTTTTTTTCTTTTTTTTTTTTTCTGTTGGATGTTAAATGTTTCATGAGTTTTCCGTAAGCAGAGTTTTAAGGACTATGTATGATTTATCTGATCAGTTCTCCGAACATCGTACCGCTTCCGCTTGCTGTTCGTGAATTACTCCGTCGTTATCGTACGTATGTTTATCAATGTTTTTTTACACGTAGTTTTGTCCTTCGGCTTGCATTGCGGATATGCTGGGATAGCAGTTTCAGATGTGTGGATTACTCAATTTATATGATTTACGGAAGATTATGGATCGTCTCTGCATTTGAGATTGCTCGGCGTTTCATGAATTTGATATTCTGCTTCAATTGTTGCCCTTAAGTTTATATTAGAGATTGCTCTTTGTTTCTTGACTCTGAATTTTACCCGTGCACCTTAATTGAATTAAAATTCTACTATTTTCGAAATCCAGATTAATGGGATTGGATTCTTTATCTTTTAGTTTTACCAGCAGATTAGTTTCTTCAACCGGAATGTAGGACCTGTAATCTAAACGAGTTTTGGGAATCAGTTCTTTGTGGTAGTTAAAAATCTGTCAAAATTTGAAGCTGGTGTTGTCTTTTGATTTATGAGATGTCAAGTCAAACATGTTCTTATTTTGTTGTTCTATGTTTGTATTAACGCAGGTTTCTTGAGTTTGTATGGCCTATTGGGAATCACTGGCTACAGGTGATAAAATGAGATTTGAAAAGGGGAGTAAAGTTGAAGTGTTTTTTGAGAATGAGAGGCCCTCGGGATCCTGGCGCTTTGCGGAGGTTGTATCTCGCGACGATAGATGCCTATACACTGTCAGATGTGCCATAGGTTCTCAAGATGAAGTGGTTATTCAAAATGTTTCTGCTAGGCTTATACGTCCATATCCTCCTCTTCTGACAATGCCTGCCTGTTGGATGCCTGGTGACGTTGTGGAGGTGTTGCATGATTACTCTTGGAAGTTGGCTACAGTCTCAAAGGTTTTTTGGGACAATGAGTTGTTGGTGAGACTAGTTGGAGCCTTGAATGAGTTCAAGGTTTGCAGCTATGATGTTCGGCAGAGGCAGTCTTGGACTAATGGAAAGTGGGTCGCAGTCGGACAGGTACGAACCTCCATATCATGTCTATCACACATTTACTCTTTGCTTTTGGTTTTTTAATATTGCAATGCATGCTAAATTTGCATTTCTATGATTGTATTTAGTTTGTTCTTTCCTTGCTTCATGAGCACTTGCATATCTATGTGTTTTCTGGACCTGAGTTCTAGGACTCTGTTCCTTCTATAGAAGTATAGTGCACAAGATTTATAACTCCCAGTGGCTAATACTTTCAGCTTTTACTTATGAAAGCCTTTTCTTGTAAATCTCTATGACACCTTCTGCTGCCAATGCAGTAGCATTCTGCCTGTCCGTAGCCTTCTAAATTAACTTGCATCGAATTTTCTTGCATTAAAACAGGTCTCCGGGAATCATGATAACAAGAAATGCAATGATGAACTTCCTTCTGCTGTGTATTACCAGAAATCTGGCCCCATTAAGCGGTTAAAAGTGAAGTTGGATTCCCGTGGAAAGAAGTACTGTGTTGATAATAAAAACAATATTGACTTCCAGGAATCATATCTAGTTTCCGGGAAATCTAAGAAGAGAGGATTGCAATTGCAAAATCCTAACCCACAAGGTAAGGCACGGAAATTTAGAGCAATCGAGAAAGATGGTAGATGTCATCGAGGGTTGGCTGGAAATCCTTCTGTGGTGCCAGAGAATATAGGATATCATGCTTGCCTTAAGACAGTCGCTGGAGAAAAAGAATTACATGCTTCTTTAAATTGGACAGCTCAATTTTCTGAAATTGATGAGGAGGGGATAAGAATGAATGGTGCATTTGGGTATTCACAACCAAGAAGTTCAGACTTTGATGATGCTGGTGATGTAACAAGCTCTGTGGGTAGCTGTAGCGAAAGTGACAATCCACACGAGTGGTCTTCAAGGATATTTTCTGCTCATGTTAATAATGCTGAAGCTCATAGCAGTGATGCGGAATCTTTTATTCAATTGCATTACAAGGAAGAGAACTCTTTACATTCCAATCAAGAGGTGTTGGCCACAGAAATCCATAGGTTAGAGTTGCATGCATATCGCTGCACTCTGGAGGCTTTACATGCATCAGGACCTTTGAGTTGGGAACAAGAAACGATGATGACAAACCTTCGTATTTCCCTTCATATATCAAATGATGAGCATTTGACAGAGTTAAGAAAACTAATATCTAGGGAAACCAGCATCAATGTTAGTTGACAAAATATGGACTGTTTTTGTTCTGTCTTATGATCATTCTTTGCCTCGTATATAGAGTCTCTGTTGCATCTAGTTTGTTATATGACCTTGTAGCTTTGTAAGAAACTAAATCAATTATTACCTTCTTGCTTCGGTTGTCACAAAAAAGATTTATTTCTTGACGTAGATTCAAACACATGTAATAAGGATCTTTAGAATGCAATATTATGTTTCAGATGATTCATGTTATGTAAGATATTCTTTCATAGCTTTTTGGATTTGATGTCCAACACCATGTGATATGTGGTATCTGCATAACAGCATGGTGCTGAGAATACTTTCTCCAGAATGCACATTTCTCATGTAGATCATTTGTGCTAAAGGATGTCATTTTTCATCCATTGAAGCATGCTTGATGCATAATAAATGTGCGCAGCAGTTTTGTAGCATAACCATCCATTGTAAGGATGTTATTGACTATTCACCTGCATTCCAGGGGATGCATTTGGAGGCTCGCACATCCTTTTTCCTAAAGGCGGTGTTGGGATTGCCTCTTCTCTTTTTGATGGAGACAGTGGGCAACATCTGGCTGAATGTGTAATTAGTATCAGCTTATCTTCACTAGCTGGTATGACTGCTTTTTACTTTTACATGCATTGTTCAATTTTGGCTGGCAACCGGAAATAGGAGCAATTTCTGGAAGGATATCTAAATTAGGGAGGCTTTGCCTTGTTATGTAAAGGTTGTCCTCCTCCTTTGAAAATCCCTGTTCAGTCATGAAAGTTATGCTTCATTTGCTTCTAGTTTGGTGATTTGCAGTGTCTGCTAGTTCGGTTCTTTGATTCTGTTACTTGATCTGTCAAACGAATTCGACGCCATCAACATTGTTGAAGGTTTGAGAAAATGAAGATGGAAAACAAACTCCGTTTCCCTTTTGTTGACATGATTCAAAGGAAATTGTTTTCTGTATATTGACACAACATACATTGCCATCATGCTTTATTAATCATTTTTATATAGCACTTTTAAAGCAATGTTGTTTCAGGAGCAAGCAGGTAAAGAGTTGGAGATGGAATTTGTTGATCGAAAATTCACTTCATCGCTCCTCAGAAACTTTTGCAGGAGAAAATGGATCATCCGTCATTTGGGCCATAAACTTAGGCCATTTGAGTTTGGATTTGAAAAGAAGTCTTCTTTCTTTCGGCCCTTTTTATTGCCTATCACATCTTGAGTCCGGAGCCCATAATTGTTTAGATCTTATGGATTCTTTAAAAGTTTTGGTTTCATCAGTCATTATAATACTCTTCCCTTTCAAAATTATTATTTAGTTTAAATTTTCATTTTTAGTTGGAATAAAAATTGTAGAATATAGTGAGCATTCTTCTTTTCAAAATGTAATTGCATATATGTAAAAAATGTGCATATCTTCTTTAAGTAACAAACGAAAATGTATAGATCTTGGTAGCTCTGTAAGTTTAATTTAGATAATCGAAATAACTGTGATGGATGAAGTGCTTTTAACTTCGTACATCCGAATTGCTTTACAAATAACTCCGTAGTTTTTCTTTTTTGTTCGATGTGATTAATTAACTAGTCAATTAAAAATAGGAAACCAGAGAAATATCGACCTGGTTTTATTTTTTGAAGAAATAGGGACATAAGAAAAAAATATATATACATATAGATTCTATATTGAAGACAAAATAATTGGTTTTGCCACTATGATCTTGCATAAACGGATCGTTAATGATTTCATATGTAATTTTTTTTTTTATATATATATTAGTGCAGTCTTCGCGTTATACTATTTATTATGTAAGTGGTTATAAATTGGGTTTTGAGGGGAGGACAGGAAGAAAACATATCAGGCTGTAAGAATGTAGAAAATTATATATAAATGAATGGTGATCATTAACTGTTATAATCATCACCAGATGGTATTCGATTTCTTGTTATTGGCGCCATATCTTCTTAAGGATGCTAAGTAACTGCTGCTTGAAAGTAAGTAGCTGTTATGACAGGCAGGAGAGAAGATAATCAAGGTTTAAGTTTTTTTTAATCAATAAATAAGATATGATAGATCGCATTTCGCATATTCTTATTCTTATAAGAATCATTTTATTTCATGTTTCTCTTGATAACTAAGAATATCATAACGAGCAATAATACAACATTACTACTTTGCTCTAGAAATTTTGCCGCTCATACTATTTAGGAATACGGTAAAGACATTAGCATAGTATTTATTACAGTGACGATGATTTTATAAAGGTAAGATTTAAATCTCAAACTTTTACCATCAATGGCGTTGATGATTCTCAATCTCATTCTATCTATAAATTTTGCCCAACTCTCTGATATGCTTTTCTGTGCACACCTTGCAAGTTTTCTGTGCATTATATGGATCCTGTTCTTGTGGAGAGGACAATGCAATCGTCAATGTCTCTTCAATTCTATACAAGGTTTCCATCTGTCATTCCCAAATCATGGTGACTCTGCACCCTTCAAAATATTAATCTTTCTCATGAGAATGCTACCTTATTCTTTGGACTTGTAGTAGTATCTAATTTGAACTTTGAAGGAGTGGAATAAATTTCTTTAAATAAATTTTTTTTTTTTTGGATAAAGAATATTGTTAGATATAGATAAATAAAAACCCTCAAGCCAAGGAAGAAAACTACAAATGAGTTGTACATTAATGTGGTTCCACCAAATCCTCTGCCATTGTCTTATTAGCATCTTTCATGATTGGGGGTACTCCCATGTGATCATGCCTCCTTCCCTCCCCTGCCTTTTTCCTATAAATCTCCTTTTTTTATTTTATTTTTTTCCCCTTCTTATATAATGTGTTTAGAATTGGACTTTTGATTGAGATCTGCATGATGATGAATGATGATTTGAATCCTGTCTTAATAAGAGAAATATCTTGGAATGACACATTTCATCATCATTCTGTTTACTGAAATACTACTTGAACGATTAATCACGAAACAGAAAAAAGTTCGACAAAACACAACATTAGGACACGTCCCGGTTGATGATTCATGGAGTACCAATTACTATCATTGTCAATGTAGGCAAAGGTTAATTAAAACTACCTGATATGAATTTGAGGTCAATATGACGTTATTTGTTTAAAGATTATTTCGCGTCTAAGAATGAGATTCGAACACCCGATCTCCTTGATTAAACACAACCCTTTCTGTTTCAGCAACTTAACTCTGAGAGAGATTGGAAACCATAAAGACAGAGAACTTTTTGGTTTGGTGAATAACCAAATTCACTTGATTGAGGAGAATCAGTAACATCTTTTAATTTGATTTGTTTTTAATACTATGACGCATTTGGTAATACTGCTGGGAATGGCTTCTTATAGTTTGTCCCCATTTCTTTATACAACCACATGTAGACATGTGACCTGTTGCTGGTGCTGCTGCTGTAGACTCTTCCTTACATTCTACATAGAATTTAAGCTTTCGCAATCTGGGACGACATCTTTTATTAATTCCCAATTTTTAATACCAATTCAATCAATTTACAGATTATTCCCCAATTCCAAAATAGTACCTTATTGGTCCCCTGTGGGTTGCCTATATTTTGATACATCATATATATTCATCGAAGCTGGCTGCCTAGCTAGCTAAAGCTTAACTTAATTAGTGTTTATGATCAATGCTCAACCGTAACAACAATCCCACATGATAAAAATCTTTTGGCCAAAACCATTGAATTGATGATGATATGAATGATCGTTGTGGCGAGTCGCGGTGGTCCTTATTTTTGGCTCAACTGTTCTAAATATTACGTGTACGACGATTGTGTCTTTTACGTTTATTTTAGAAACTGAAAGTCTGATACACCTGTAGTAGGAGGGATGGAATGGCCCCAAATTAATGATTTAGGCAATGATAAGGGGCAGGTGGGATCGATATACTTTACTTGGATCATCATCAATCATAATCATATATTCATCATTATCTAACTAACTAACCAGAAAAAATCAGCAATAGTAGTAGAAGAAGCAAGTGAGATATGGGGAAGTTGAGGCAATGAAAAATTTATAAAAGGGATTAATCATGGAAGAGAATAGTCTTTGTTCCCCCTTCAATATGGTCTATTATAGTCCAGACAAGTCGCATTAATCAGGAGCAGACATATCTTAAGCCAGCTCATTATCCAAAAACTTGGATTAAATTAAACCGCGGCAGACAGTCCATCTTAATTTATAATTAAGAGGGTTTCACTATAATTAGAGGTGACAACTTATTCAATAATCACTGATATTCATTATAATTCTTGCTAGCAGAAGAAGTGTTTAGTTTAAAATTGTTGATGTTCTGTGATATGAGCTGGCATTTCCCCCGGGGAGTAGTAAATGTAGTGTCACACATAAACTAGTTATATCGTGTCCTAACTACTAAATCAAATGTGTATTATTATTGTACAATCTCTAAAAATAATCCGGACCCGTTGCAGCTAAAGAAACCATTTTATGATGATGTCTTGTTCTGATTGTCAGGAACTGCTAAAACAATCAGATTTATGGGATTCTTTTCAAGGAGAAGAGGGGGGTTTTGGATCAGCAGATAAAGTATAAATGTATATGATTATATATATATATGATCAGATGGTCCAATATTTACTAGGGCTATACTGCATTAACTTTAGGTCACATGAATCTCTGTCTGCATGGGATCGTTTTTTTCTTGTTGGCTGTTAGTTGTCACTTGTCAGAACTATATACAAAATCATCCATATTCACTGCAATTTCTGCTATATAAATCAAATCCATCTTATGTTACATTTATAGTTCTTGCATTTTTCAATTCCCAGTTTTTGGAGGGTTCTATCTTAATAGAGAGTGTATTTTTTTTTATTCACGGGATCAGTTAAGCTTTGAATTGACAGAAACATATCGTCCTTCACCTTTCCACATTGGGGGAATTTGAAAATGTTTTCTAATTTGGGTTCAAATTGTGACGTTAACCCTAGAAATGGTGCACAAATTTTTTTCTCAAAATGTTGATTAAAAAAAAAAAAAAAAACAATGAACTGATCATAATGATTAATGAGTGATGAAAAGATAAGATCACCAAATGATTCATTCATTCTTTAGGTATGTACATTATTTCCTATCTCATCTTGCGAATATCTTTTTACTAATAACTATCATTTTCATTTTTCTCTAATAAGACTAGTATGCTTGGCTACAGATAAGTGTTTGTTTTTGGTCCATCAATTATTCTGTTCAGTATTACCATTCGCTCATAAGGATACAAGTATGCTTATAATTAAATTAAAAAGACATGGAAAATCGTGAGAAATGCTTTTCTTTAGAACCCTAGCATGGTTATATATTATATATGTTGCACCTTTTCACAAAATCATTTGAAACAAAGCCACTTTTTTTATATTTATATTTAATTACCTCAACTCCACAGCTTTGTCCCCCATAACTGACCTTCCTTTTCATTAGTTTACCAATAGAAACTTTTGAATGCTAGTGAATTATTGCACAATTTGCACTTAAATCTATAAATTTCAATCATGCACGACAGGAAACATGTTTGCTCCTAGCGATTAACTAAATTAAGTACTTTTAGAATGTTAAATTTGTCGTTTTGTGTAAGAAATGAGGCTCTATGTCTCAAATAATATTCTTTATAGTAAATTTAAATAAAAGAACTATTTTGGAACCCAAAAAAATACACAAATATAGATTCTACGTTAAAGGGCAAAAAAGAAAATAAAGCACGCTCAAGACAAACCCCAAAGTAGGAAATTTCCAAAATTTATTAAGTACTATCTCCATCCCAAAAAAATAGTCCACATTGAATTTTGATATTTGTACTAATTTTAGTACAAATTTGAAAATTTAATGTGGACTATTTTTCTGGAGCGGAGGGAGTAATAATTAAGAACTAAATACTAAAATATCAAATCAGTGCAGGTAGGAAACGCGTTGATCATTTTAAGTAGCGGAGAGAGGAGGAAAAAAAAATGAAATTAAGGAGGATCAGATCATTAATCTATCTGCAACAAAATATAAAAAATAAAAGCTGTTATGTTCGAAACTTGGAAAGTACACGTTTACAAACAGCTGTTTACAATTAATATGGCTATTTCAAATGAATTGAACCTCAAACATGCGATTCGAATCACATTCGATTCTTAATACTTCCTTTGTCCCAATTCAACAGGCTACCTTACTATTTAAGAGTGTCCTACTAAATAGGCTGGTTTCCTTTTTGAGACGTGCGTTTTCTAATGAAATTCCAAATGTACCCTTAATTTAATTAATCACCTACCCATCATTAATGTTTTTATAAGGATATTTTAATAAGATAAAGGTAAAAATAGTTAGTTAAGTTTCCAGCGATCATTTTTTTGAATTATAAAAGCTTCCAGCGATTTTATTTGTGCAATGCGCGAGCTTTAACTCCTCCTTAAACAGTGAAAACATTCTTATCACTTGAATCAATAATAAAATATTAGTTCTAACCAATCATACTACTAATGTAGAATGAAGCAAATTGCAATAATCAAATAGCCAAAAATATTACTATAGGGGGCACAAATTTCAAGATGTGCATCGTGTGTGTGCATGGTTAGAGGAGAGCATGTCATTAGCAAATACAAGGGAATTATGCTCTTTTTTTTTTGTAAGGTTTGGGTAATTATGAATCGAATCACATGGTAAAGATTGATATATTAGCATGCTTGGATTCCTTTAACAAACGTAAAAAGCCACCAAAAACAAACACAATATCAAATGAGATTTAGCTCTAATAAGTACTCTTAAGTCACATGCTTTCGTGGGGACCAAAACACCAAAACCCAAACAGAAGAAGAGCATTATAAGAGAATTTAAACAAGATCCCAAAAAAAAAAAAAAACAAAACAAAACTTAAATGTTTAATCTCTAATTGTGTGTGTGTTTCAATCTTATTACAGCTGATGGAAGTTGTTAAACCCCATAAAGCAAAGAAGAATGTAATATTTTAAAATTGAGGGAATGGCAGTGCTGGAGTACAGTTAAACTTTGCTTTAAAAGAATTAACAGATCTTACTGTGGAGCATTGGGCAACACAATTGTGATTTTTGTTTGCTTTATCAACAAGCACAAGATTTTGAATTTTTTTTTTTTTTTTTTTTGGGTGGTAAATGGTAAAACCTTGTTCTTCACAAAGTCTTACCTCAACTTCCAAGAAGTTGAAGGTGTGGGGGTGGTGGGATGCTGCTTCCTTCTCTTGCTTTTTAGAGGTGCCTTTTTGAGACTAAATACAAACACTTAAGATTCAGTAAATTAAAACAACACTTTTCTCTTGGTTTCTATGCTTGTAACGTGGCATACCTCGGCGCTATTACTGTTACATTACCATTATGATGAAAGGATCAAAATCTTCTGTTGGAGTTCAATGAACTATGTAAATAGGAGTAATAAGTTGGAGTAATGATGGAGCTCAATGAAGTTACTCATGGTTTTGTAGAGTAGATTTGTGTAGTAAAATGGGGAAAAGTCCTACTCTTACTAAAAGATTGATGGAATCAGTGAAACCGAACCGGTTCTATGAAATGGTTCACTGACACGTAAAAATGAAAAATTATTAGTTTTGTACCTTAACATTTAAACTGCTTACTTTAAAAAGTACTAATATTTGTCTAATCTCGTGTGTGTTCCATCAATCATTTCAATATTTCACTAAAAATAACCCAATATGAAGAGATTTTGCACTTGTTTTAGTTTCATGTGTGTCACATCGGTCGTCTAGACATCATTTAACTTAACCATTTCATTGTTTCTATGATCTGTCTCTAGCCTTTCTTTTGCCGAATTAGACATTTCGTTTGGATTGCTGCTGAAAATGTACAAAAGATGAACACTCATTAAAACAAAAAGACAAAAACAGGGCAAATAACATATACAGAGAGAACGAAGAAAGGGGGATTGATGATGAAGATATAATAATTAATAATAATATTACAAAACTGTGTTAGAACTTTTTGGACAATATACATTACATACACAGATGATGGTCGAAGCTTCCAATTAGTCACAAACTAAATCCTAACACTGCCCTTACTTGCTCATTAGCTTCCCTGCTGCTTCTTCTTTCTTTGCAGCAAAGCGGGTTTTCCAACACTTACAGATAACGTCTTTCTTCACTACTACTACTTTGAATCTTCGGGTAGGAGATCATCAGTGGGTCAATTTTTAAGTGCAGGAAAGAAAAAAAAAAAAAGGAAGAAAAAATTGGAGGTAGCAGGGTGGAGATTTTTAACAATGTTGGGGTTTCACTTAATTACTTCCTACTTCCTAATTTGGGGTTTTTTTTTCTTGAAAAAATATATATAATTTTTATATGGGTCAGCCAGAGAACTTGCAATGTATATGCAGGGAGGGGGGAATTTTTTCGAAGTTTTGGGTTGTAAGTTGGAACTTTAGGAGGACCCTTGATTTTGACCAATCGTATGATCGGGCAAACGCTGGAAGATGATTGGAGCACCATATTGCGGGTATAGAAGCATCAGGACCGTTGGTGCGTGTTGATAACGTGGGGCCAACCGAAACGTACACCGTTGAAGCATTATTGCCAGCGTCAGCTTGGCCTGAAGCAACGCCAGATTCTGGCCAATGCATTGCCGGACTCCCAACCCAAACGGGATGAAAGCCACCGGATGTTTGGCCGCCCGGGCCACCCCTTCCGAGAATCGGGCCGGGTTGAATTCATTGGCGTCGCTTCCCCATAAGGCTTGATCGTGATGTACGGCTAGGATTGGAATTAGTAGCTCGGTCCCACCAGGGATCTTGCATCCTCCTAGCTCCACGTCAGCCTTTGCCCGCCGGATTGTAGCCACGATCGGTGGGTATAGCCGGAGGGACTCATTAAGTATCATGCTTATCTGCAATTTGGTAAGAAGATAAAAATAATTCAAAAAAAATGCTAAAAATGTTTTAGGTACGATTATTGAATGATAATGACATTATTATTATTAAGTGGTTATTATTATTATTACCGTCTTAAACTTGACAAGATCATCTTTGGAGGGGATATCACGTGATCCGCACGCCTTGAGCACCTCGTCACGTGCCCGGTCCTGCCATTCTGGGTGCATAGCTAACAAAACGGTCGTCCACGTCAGCAAGTTGGATGTTGTCTGCTCCCCAGCAAAGAAGAAGCTCTTGCATTCTTCGGCGATGTCATTCACCGTGATTACCGACGGCGGCGTCGAATTCCCGCCGGCGCCGCCGCTGCCGCTCCGCCTCAAATTCCCGTTCACGCTCGCCTGAATCATTAAGCCCAGTAAATCCTTGGGCCCGTTTTCTTTCACCTCGCTGACCCAATTCTCTTTCCTTTCATCGATCACCTTCACCAGTGATTTCTTGATTTCCTTGTCCAGTTTCCAAGACTTCATATTCCTTCTCGTGGGCAGGAATCTAAAAAAAAAATTTCAAAGAGTACGATTAGCCCGGATCATATATAAGAACTAGTTTAATGTTTTAATGATGATTCAGTACGATGTTGGATTTAAAATTTTTTAGTTGTATTTTATAAATTAATTACCTGTAACCTGGGATGGAGATTTTCTGGAAAGCCTCAGAAGCAAGAACCATTTGTTGAGCTTGGAGACGGAAGATGGCTTTTCCTTCCTCGTAGCTGCGGCCAAATGCAGCTCGGGTTACAATATCTTCTGTCAGATTCTGGAACCATTCTGAGACTTCAATTTCGACTTCATTGTTTTTCCCAAACCATTTCTCCAACATTTCCACCACGCTATTTGCACTCATTGGTATTAGCAACTGTTACAGTAAAAAAAAAAAACAATAAATAAATATCATAAAGTACAGATTATTTAAACATGCTAGCTACCCAAAATTCAATGAACAAGAGGGGGAAAAAAAACAATAAATGTTATCAGCCTGAAGAGGATTACGTACTTTGAGATTTTCCATATGAAAGGTAGGGGTGATGATTTTTCGATGGTGAGCCCATTTTTCGCCTTTGAGGCTGAGCAAACCATCGCCTTCAAGCTGCCTAATCAGCGGATGAGCTTCGTTTTTCTCATAGAATTCGGATTTTGATGTGAAAATTTCTCTAATGAGATCAGGATCAGCTACTGTTAGCCGAACATTTGGTCCAAACCATACCAGAAGAGTTGCACCTATTAACAACAACAAACAAAAACATAACCCAATTATTATTGCCAGATTACGTTACATTACATTCCAAAAAAATTAAAAGTACCAACATGCGTAAAACCAGGAATATATATATATATATATATATATATATATATTAAAGTTTCATTTTTCGAGGGAAACAAATGAAAAATAAAATGAAATTAGGAATAGAAGCAGATGGGCTCGAGATGAATAGGAACGAAGGCAGGGAACCAGTAAATTCAGCAAAAGAATGTAGTGTAGTGTTTTTTAGAGTTTTGTTATAGGGACCCTACAAAGAGAAATTGAGAAAGAGAATGAGAAAGGGGGGAAAACAAAAGGGGAAGTCGGAACAAGACAACTGCAAACTATATAACTAACTAACAAAAATGCAACTTCGTTATCAAAAAAAAAAAAAAAAACTTACAGCCTTCCAAGAAAACAATGATCACAAGTAACTTGAGTCCAAAAAATAAAAAACTAGATGATGAATTGATGATGTTGATGTTGTTGTTGGATGATAGTGAGTTGATAACCCATTAAATGGAACGCTGCCAAAGTTTTTTCAGAAAAAGGACTGAGTAAAAAAAATAAATATCATGAATCATGATGACGAGGAAGAGGAGGAGGATGATGATGATGATGGTGATCACCAGCTATGGTGCAGTGATTTGGGAAACGGGAAATACATGAGTTTTTATTATGAACATTGGCAGCTGGAGCCAGCAAATACAACAGCCTGAAGATTTATGACCTTGTCTGGTTATCCAAAAACAAGTGAAAAATTGTACTAGTTAGGAGTATTATGCTTCTGAATGTAACAAAAATGGACAGAAGAAAGAAAGGAAAAAAGTGGTCCGTCTGCAAAAAAAAACACACCAAACTCTATACGATTCTTCTTCATCCTCCCCAATATCCCACCAACAATAACATCAGGCCTAACTGAATCAACATTACTGCTACCACTTTTTTTTTTACCTCTAGTAAAAGCTCCTTGGGACTGTTGGATTTTAACCCATTCGAATAGACACCATATCTTTTCAAACCCAAGTCCACATTGCAACCAAAATGGGAAGAGTAATTTTCAAATTTTCCAGATATGGGATTTTCTTATTGGGGGAAGAAGGCCCAGATGGAGAAGAAAGAGATTTGATTGAAAAACTGGGTTGGTTTTGAAATTGGAATTATTTAGTAATGAAATTAAAACAAAACTTACCGTAAATCTTCTTCCAGTGGTGGTAAAAAGAGAGGACTCGGGGAAGAATGTTGTGATCAGAAGAAGACATGGGTTGAGAAGAGGCCTTCAACATTAGGCTCACCAGCTCCTTCGCATTCCCGAGTAAGAAACGATAAGGTGGTCCTCTGATACCTTGTTTTGAGAAATGCTCTTCGATTTTCCTGGGTCTCCACCACAGCAGAATTAAGCCTTTCAGCACAAAAACTACCAACACCATCGACACCACCAACAGCTTCAACAAATTCAACACTTTCTCTACTTCCATATTTTGGGAAGAAACGCTTTGTTTTCCTTTAATTTTTGGTCTGAAACAGTAGAGGCCTTCTTCTTTGAAATGTTGCAGTGCCTTCTTCTTCTTCGTCTTCTTCTTCTTTCTTTCTTTCTTTCTTTCTTCTACTACTACATGGAGTTTGTGTTAGAAAATAAATAAACTTCTAGTAATAATAATACTAATAAGAATAAGCAGCTGCTTGTTGTTGTTGGTGCGCTTCTTAGCGTCTTCGGGCCTTTTAATGCCAACAAAGTTTGTGTCTCTATGTGTGTGTCTGTGTGTGTGAGAGAGAAAAATGTGAGAAAGAGAGTAAGAAAGAGAGAGAGAGAGAGGGAGAGAGGGAGAGATTTGTTGGGCAAGGCCAACGGCGTAGGGGCCGCCATTGGAATTAGAAGGGTCAACGAATGATGAATTTTTTATTTAGTTTTCTTTTTCTTTTTATTTTCTTTTAAGACAATGTTACCCTTGTCTTTTCTAACTAGTAGTATTAGTAGTATCTTTCCATCCTCCCCCCCCCCTCCCTTTATTCTACATTTTTCTATATTATTTATTTATTAAAAAAATGAATTATAAAACTATAACCCTTTATTAGGACCATATTCTCAAATCTGTTTGTTATGTGTTCGTTGGAAAACTTAAATAAGATATTTGTCACTTTTTATAGGTTTGCGAAATGAGAGTAATAACAATGCTGCTGAAAAATGAAAGTAAAATGACTGAATATTTTTTAAAACGAAGAGGAGATGAATGTTGGGGGAAAAAATCTCTTGTTTTTTGAAAACGTTTTAAAAAATTTAAGGCCTCATGTGGTGAAATACACAATAAGATATGATATGACAAGGTAAACTTTAAAAATTTGGTGCAAATTTTCTTTTTTTGTTGATGATATATAGTGCATAGGCATGGCAAACAACTTTTTTCCGTTATCCCTAAAAAAAGGAAAAGGAAGGCACACCTCCACCTTAAAAGAAATAAACCAAATTATATATAATATACAATTTGTAGTTTTCTAGATAATCCCATATTTTTTGGTACCCAACCATAGGAATATACTATATCATAAGCAAATATTCGAATATAACTGGATATCAAAATTATTTTTTAGGTCAAAAGAAAACAATTAAGAATTTTGAAACAGAAATAGTATATGTCGGTTTTAATTTAATTATTTCTACATGGTATGTGAAATTTTGTCCTTTTGTTGAAAATTGAAGAAAAGGAGGGGGAAAAGAGCGGGAAAGGGGTAGTTTAGTCTGAGAAATAGGGGAAGAAGAAGAAGAAGAAGAACCATGGTCCAGCTATATATGTCGTCGATCGCACTTCCCATAATTTAGGCCTAAATGGCTATATTTGGGATCAAGAAATTTAAGGCATAATTAAGTTGAAGAATAGATAACAGATAGGCGTGATCTGTCTACGTTTTCAAATTACGTTATGAAAGAAAAAAGAAAACAATAAAAATTTTATTTATAAGTACAACAATCAAATTGAATTTTTTTGGTGCTACTGTTTAATTATCTAAGAAGGGAAGAAATTTGGAAAATTGTATAGTAAAAAATCAGGTCACATTGGATGAGTGTGATCTTCCTCAAATGGTCCCCCAAGTCGTGTAGGAAGAATGAGAATTTTGATAACAACATTTCATTTAAGGAAGGTCAATGAATTAGTTCAATTAAAAAATATACTAGTAAAGTATATTTCTTTTTTTTAAAAAAAAATACCTTCGTTTTTAATTCATTTACTTTATTTTCTTGCCGATGATACAGATGAGTAAATCTCAACATTTCATGAGTTGGCTGCGAATCTTTTCCCACTTCAACCCTTGAATATTCCCGAACATGTTAAATTATTGAATTTTTCATTTTACCAAAAAAATAAAAAGTATCACACCATGTTAATCCAATTTTAAATATTCACTCACCGGAAAATAAATGCCTTTGAATATAGTATTTACTAGTATTGGTTTCCTGATTTAATTTAATTGACTCTTGTGAAGTCAAAATATTGCCATGAAAATACCAGCTTGATCGTAGAAATTTTAGAAAGAGAGAAAAACCACCACAAGTTTTCAGATTAAGATTTATAATCGGGAGGTCTTAATGACTGGCTTTTGTTTCTCCATTAGGTTCATTTCAAGCATTCTATTGCCTTGTCAAATCCTTTGTAATTTTTCCAATTGTTTGACTTTCGCAGATTTGATTTACGTGCCGGTTTTTCTTCAGCATATCTAATCGATCAAATACTTGTTCAAACTAGTTCGTACTCGGTTAAATTGGAATGGATACTTTTTTTATAAAAAAAAAAAAAAATCAATCCACACACAAACTTACATACAAAACTTAAATTGGAATTGATACTTTTAATAAAAAAAAATCTCCCAATAAGGAAAAAAAAAATAAGAATCAATCCATGCATAAACTTACATCCAAAACTTGGCTTTGTTTGTTTCCTTTTCTTGATGGTATTTTTAGATTAACATATTAATAACTGTCTCATCCCAGCATATTTTTTACATTTCTAATACAAAAAACACTTAAAAACACACACTAAAAAAATGAAACAAACAAACCCTAAAGGAATGCGAAGAATAAATGAATGATAGGGGAAAAAAAAAAGGTTGAAAAAAACACATATTCCAGTCAATTGTCAACTAATTGAGCAGGTAGGAGAAAGAAAACATACGGAATTCAACAAAAAGTCCAACTCCAAAATCTCCAAATTGTTCATTTCCGGTCCTTGTTCAAGAAAAGACTGCGTCGAAAAAGGAAAAAAAAAAAGACATGGAAATAAGAACAATTTCACGTACGTAAAAATGTGAACCTTAAAACTAAATAAATACCTTCTGACTAAACCCAAATCGCATTAAACGTGCTCCAATTTTATGCATCACGGGGGTCGTTGAAATGTGCCGATCATTCAAGCTGTAACCAATGTCAGCAAAGAAAATCCAAATCAAATCGTTTCAATTTGTCAATTTCTTAGTTTACCAGCTACCATTAAAAAAAATTGCTGAAAAAATCACGTAACGGAGAAATTAATAAACTAGTAATTGTTTCTGTGAACTGTATTACGCAAAAATTGAAAGCGACTACTACGTTATATGATTTTGGGGCCATGGCGTTGAAATTCTGCAAGAGTGTTCATTATTGAAGAGTAAAATATAGTCGGAATATATGAAATGGAACATTATAATTGAATTAAATTTTTATGAATTTCAGTTGGAGGGTCGCCTTCAAACTCTCTTAAAATGACTAAAACTAGAAGATGTTGCTAACCAACTATGACTTTCTGGTGTTCTTCTACTTTACTACCCTTTCAATTCCAATATTCGTCTTCCTCTTTCCGCGTTGATAATGGCCCAATTTTTGTAGTGAAATATTTTATAAATCGTTACGGATCGACAACAACAAAAAGAGGAGAAGGAGGAGAAAAATACACGTAAATGGAATTTACACACTGAAAATGTGAATAGACAATACCACGTGAGAAATAGTTTTTTTTTTTTTTTTTTACCTAAAAAAAAGTCAACTCATTAATTTTTCAAAGTAGCTTGCTTTGTAGTAGTAGTAGTATAATTCTGTATGATTAAATAATTGATGAGGTTCGATCAAAATGCATGTACCTTCCGAGAAGCCGATTAATCATTTTGGTTGATTATTAGTATGTTATAATGCCTCCTCGTCGTATATAATGTCTGAGAAGAGTAATTATCCATCGATACTGTACTTGTGAATGACATTTAATGATTAGGAGCTGGATTCCGGCTGTTCATCAAGTACTACCACACTTGTTAAGTTTTAGAGAAGAAACGATCTAGATAAATACATTCATATTGTCTTAATTAAAATATTAGTTGTTTTGGTAGATTTAAGCGTGAGAAATTCTCCCACTCTTTCCGTCTAAATAAAACAATAAGCATTTCTTGAAATGAAAGGATAACAATTTGATGAGTTCGTACTTATAAAGTCGCTTGATTTTACCTTCTTTTTTTTTCCCCCTCGTTTAAATTCATTGGGTGTTAAGTGTTAACAAATTAGAATCATTTTTAACAGTTGATGGAATCAAGTGAACGTTAGATGAGTACATGCAAAAACATTTTCCCATGCATATACTATTTTTATTTTTCACTTTAATCAGTGTATAATAATTCATTTTGATTCCTAAAAAGATGGTTTTGTTCCGTTTCCTTTTTCTTTTTTCTGATGAGGGAGGGGAAAAGGAGGAGGAGGTTGTTAATTTGGAATGTTGCTCTTAAATTTATGCACATGGAAACAAGGCTGTCTATTTAAGGGTTTATTTCCTGTGGTTTTGGTGGGGAAATATGCTCTGGGTTCGCCCAACAATCAGCACCCAACCAAGGGCACTTCCCTAATCCTGTCTTAATACTCCCAAGACATGTTTGGGCCATGTGCCCTCCCTCGGGTCCTACCCTTTCCAAAACCCGCCCTCATTAACTCCCCGGATAAGTGTTTTATTTGGTTTTAATCCCCATCCCAAGATAATTTTGCCTAATTGTGCTTCCTATATATTTTGAGTTATTCCCTCCGTTTCAAAATGATTGTTACAGGGTAACATCAGGAAACTACATTCTTTAAACTTAGAAACCATTAAAAACTAGCTAGCTAGTTGACGTTTGCATCATTTCATCTTCAAAGGGTGAAATTTATTTAATCGTCTCTCTTTCCAATAAAAATGCATTTAACACCATTAATAGTGTCATTTTGCAGCTTTACTTTTAATTTCACTAGGAAGTTTTTGCGATGTTGATGTATATCCTACTTGAGGACTGCAAAATTTGTTACTTTTGTATATATGCTTCATCTCGACTATCTATGATTTTTCAAAAATCGCTTATGGCGTACTATGAGACAATAAATTGAGTAAACATCAGATGGAACTAGGGATCAAGTCTGAAATAAACTCACAACAACCTTTTTTTTTCTGTTAAGTGAAAGCGAAACCAAGCCATACGCCATAGATACAACTGCCCATCCTCTTTGAAGATAAAGATTGTTAGTTAATGAGATTGAATATCGGCATAGCAACTAATTAACTATCTATCTTGTATGCTTTTAGCCAACATTTGATCCCAACTCGTGATTGCGTTTTCACTCGGATGATTCCAATAATGTTAGCAAAAAAGTTACACAAGAAAGGACACAAACTTTGTTGAAAACGAATTAAATCTCCGCCATCCCTTCAAAGGAGAGAAATTCAGAAAAGCTAATTACTCTTTTGTTTCAGAAAAATAATTTATTTATGTTGAATCAATTTAATGTAACAAAGTGAAATTATTTTTGTTTTGAAAAAAAAAACACTTTTATATATGAAAATTATACATTCGTACTTTT